TTTAGCAATGAAATGTGAAAATGAGGTCAAGGTCAAATAAAACATGCCAGACTGACATGTACATCGTAAAATATTTCAATACACCAAATATAGCTGACTTACTGCATACAGTATTAGAAAAACATACCAAAACACAAAAAACAATGAACCGTGAAAATGAGGTCAAGGTCAAATAAAACCTGCCAGACTGACATGAACATCGTAAAATATTTCCATACACCAAATACAGTTGACCTATTGCATACAGTATTAGAAAAACAGACCAAAACACAAAAACTAAACTATGACCACTGAACCATGAATATGAGGTCAAGGTCAGTTGACACCTGCCAGTTTGACATGTACACCTTACAATCATTACATACACCAAATATAGTAGACCTATTGCTTATAGTATCTCAGATATGGACTTAACCACGAAAACTTAACCTTGTTCATTGATCCATGAAATGAGGTCGAGGTCAAGTGAAAACTGTCTGACAGGCATGAGGACCTTGCAAGGTACGCACATACCAAATATAGTTATCCTATTACTCATAATAAGAGAGAAATTAACATTACAAAAAATCTTAACTTTTTTTCAAGTAGTCACTGAACCATGAAAATGAGGTCAAGGACAAATGACATATGACAGACGGAAACTTCATATCATAAGGCATCTATATACAAAGTATGATGCATCCAGGTCTTCAACCTTCTGAAATATTAAGCTTTTAAGAAGTTAGTTAACGCCGCCGCCGCCGCCGGATCACTATCCCTATGTCGAGCTTTCTGCAACAAAAGTCGCAGGCTCGACAAAAAATGAATGATAAAAAATCTGGAGGTAGACTTTTTCAACAAATTGTCGGCATTCCTATGGGAACGAACTGTGCGCCTCTCCTTGCCGGCTTTTTCTTATTTTCATGTGAGTCGGAGTTCCTTCAAATGCTTATCAAAAGCAAGAAGATCAAGGAGCCAGATCATTTAAATTCACATTCAGATATATCGATGATGTTCTTTCCATTAACAATCCAAACTTTTCTGATTAGGTTCCATTAATATATCCTCCAGAACTAGAAATGAAAGAAACAACAGACACGGCTTCCTCTGTCTCATTTGTAGACTTATACCTCGAATTTGACACAAGTGGTCATCTCAATACCAGAATCTATGACGAACAAGACGATTTTAATTTTGAAATTATAAATGTTCCCCACCTTAGCATCAATATACCAGCTTCACCTGCATAAATGATATACATTTCCTAATTTATTCGGTATTCAAGATTATAGGTACTGACGTTGTTTATCATCTTAATTACGTGTTATATTGTTCTTTTTATTTGTCTTTGTATATTTTTAACCTTTACTGTTTAGTCCTTTTTTTGGTAATATACTTTTTGCGTGGCAATTTATTAATATATCCCGCCATTGTGTTATTGTGCTATGGTCATTTTTGTATTCTTGTCTTTCATTTTTGCTGATGTACTTTATCTATAGATTTTCTATATGCCACTTTTTTTCTTTGTTGAAATAGTTATTTGTTTTTATAGTGACTAAGATTATAACACAATGTTGACTGCTGTACCCCAATTTTTTACTTTTTTACCTATTATGTCTGACGTTTGTTTTGCTCACACATAATGGGATTCTAAATGACTGTCATACAAGTGAGAGGTTTAGCTAACTATAAAACCAGGTTTAATCTACCATTTTCTACATAAGGAAATACCTGTACCAAGTCAGGAATATGACAGTTGTTTTCCATTCGTATGATGTGTTTGAGCTTTTGATTCTGCCATTTGATAAAGGATTTTCCGTTGTTTTGAATTTTCCTGGGAGTTCGGTCTTTTTGTTATTTTACTTTTTAGATATTGGGCTATCATCAAATATAGATACCTAGACAAAGGCAGTTTTAGTTCTTCACTGAAAAACTTCAAGAACTGAAGAGAATGTCCTGGATTGTTCTTCTCATTGAACCTGGCACAAGCCATCCTATCTATGAATACCATGGGATCACTGCTACCATTGTGGCTCATTCTATCTCCCCTGGTGACACTAACGTAAATACACTGAAAATTTCTATGATCGTTCTAATTTTTCACATGGAAATAAAAATGTAAAGTGTGTTTTTTGTTTTGTTTTGATGGTCTATTGTAGGGGTTGCTATTTCGTTTTATTCATGCTTATTCTCTAATCCAATATTAGTAGTAGTAGATTTACTTGAACTTTATACGGGGAAATATTATAGTTTAACAATAGAATTACTTTCAACAAAACAATGTAATATTATATTTCAAAAAATTTCGACTTATTGTGGAAGAAAATCAACTTAGTTTTAAAAAATCTAATTCAAATAAATAAACGATCATTTGAACTTCGGGAGCGGAGAAGGAATTTGGAAATGAATATGTTGGACTACTAAGAACTGACAGAAATCATAAGCTTGTCCAAACCAATGAATATTTTGCAACCCCCCCCCCCCCCCCCCCCCCCCAAAAAAAATCTAAATTAGATATGCAGGAAACGATTGAGTTCAAAAGTGGAAATAAATTTTCACAGAAAATAAATTAGCCGGCTTAGCAACAGGTTAAAATGAGAATGTCGCCTATGAATTAATTCCCTACCCCAGCGCTTAAATCATATGGTCGTCCTCAAATAGGCATGTGTTTTGATTTTTTTAATGTGTAGATGGATTGCTGTTTCATTGAGGTGTATCCCACATTATTTAATGTGTAGATGAATTGCTGTCTCATTGAGGTGTTTCCCATATTGTTTAATGTGTAGATGGATTGCGGTTTCATTGAGGTGTACATGTGCGTAGCTACGTTTACGTCAAAACGCCCGGGAGTGCACATAAATTTTGAAAAAAAAAATATTTGAACCCAAATAAATTATAAGAACTGATTAAAAGCACACGAGCCTTGTATTTTTTTCTTCAATGACTTGTAATTGGAGATAAAGACAAAGTGACGAAATATACTTTTTAATCCAATGGTATCATATTATTTTTTAAGTACTTTTAGGTCATATACATGTAATTCTGTAACTGTTTCGGTTCTTATACATCATCGACTTTAAAATATTCGGCTTTGAGCGTTCCTGATGATGATAAATCTAGAAAAACGCTTCGAACTCATGAAATTAATAACTGTCACTCATCAAGAGGAGATTTAAGAGCATACGATACAGTTAGTTACATGTTATTTATCGCGACGTCAAACTGCGACATATCGGGAAAATATGCATTTTTTGAGTGATTTTAATCCATAGCTTGAAAACGAGTACATAGGACCCCTCCTTTTTAAATGACATTTGACTTGATACTGTATGGAGATTATTTATTCCAATTTTAGTGAAAAAACAACAGATGAATTTATTTTTAAATTAGATAGATATCCAGCAAAAATGTCGTTTTTTTTCTAAAATCTTGAAAATTTTATACAAATGAATTATTTCCAAATAATTATTACACAACTCAAGAGGTTACTTTTGAAAAGAAGATATTCCAAATCGTTTTACAAAAAATAGGCATATGTTTATCTTTTGAAACAAAAGAGTTAATTATGTCTATCCAAAGGATAGAAATGTCCAAGAAACCGTTTTTATCAAATTACGTTGACATGTTTGACAGTTTGTGCCCGTTAAATTGTTTAAGTGAGCTCTCCTTCGATTTTGTCTTCGCAATAAGCATATTTTGCGTAATAATTATAGCAAAGAGCACTTTTAATATGTCTATCCAAGGACAACTTGACAAGGATAACCCATGGAGTCCTTAAACTTCAGCCTCCGCTATCTTTATAACTAGAAAGATAACCTATATTACATTTATCTTCGCATGGAAGTATTTAATTGTAAACATAATTCTTCCATGATCTGAGCTAGACACTTGGGACAAAAAAGTGTTTTATCCTTGAACTTGAACCCATACAAAACTTAAACAGTCATTACATTTGGATATATATCGAAAGTTATAACAAGTAATACAGCAATATCAGCTTATTCTTCAAATCAATTGATAAACAACTTCGAGGGACATTTTATTCATATCATTCAAAAGCAAACATTTCACCTAAATCCTCAAAAAGCGTGATATGGTTATTATCAATCTTCAAAACATTGTATTTAAAATCCAAGGTATGTTTTAGGACATACACTTTGCTCTGTGTACTTCTTTTCTCGAGAGGTTTACAGTAATCTATTTAGACAAAATTTCTGACAATACACACAAACGTTTGTGTCATGGACCCCCCTTTTTTTTCCTCTTTTCCATATTTTTGTAGTAAAGATCTTTTTGGTAAAATTTTCTTTAATACTAGTAATCCTAATTATTTCATATGTTTTTTTTTATTAAACGTTTTTTTATTTTAAATTCCTTTATTTTATATATGTCAGTGTTGCTCTTATCCATACAAAACCAAAGGTTTTCTGTGGTATAGAAATAATTATATTGTCATCCATGGACTTCTTCCGTCCTAGCAGTAAATCCATTACTTACATTGAGAATGTTTGGCTAGGCAAGATATATAAATTCACAGCCACGTCCGGTCGAAAATTGGGACATTTAATCCAATGCCTCGTGTAGGGAAAGGACCCTTGCAACAATTTTGAATGGTACTCGAGTGGCCTGTTTCAATGCAAATATTCTGTCTCTATCCAACATACCCTCATGTTCATTACAGTCCAACTTTCTCCTTGCTATCCCTTTCTGATCCTAACAATTGTATTAATTATTAAATTGTTCTCGTTCTGTATATGCATGGATTAATTGCAACTTAACATTAAGCAACATTTAGCAAGCCACTGAACAAGCAATCAATCTTTCACTGTATTACTACAAATGGCTACCAAACATACCTATAATTCCTTACATCCACATCATTTTGGTCTCCGGTGGAGAGTTGTCTCATTGGAAATCATATCACATTTCCTTATTTTTATGTGATTAATATCTTAATTGTTAAGTTGCTTCTCAGATACATTCAATTGTTAACTTAAATCGAACAAAAATACCCAACATGATACTGTATATATATTTATTGGAGGATGACAAACGTGGTAAAAATAACATCTTGACATAACAGTTACACACAAGTAATTCATCTGTGAAAACATTACTGGCCCATATCACTCTTAATTTCTACGCAGTAAAAACTCAAGCAACTGTGATATCATATAACAAATTGTACCACTAAGAAACTGATCAATATAGTCACAACTGTTTATCAATTAAAATACTGCATGACTTAAGTATCTGTTAGAGAAAAATTCTGGATTAATTAGACATTGGATTTTCAACAAGAGATGCTAACAATAATAATATTCAACTAATATACACCAACTAAACACTACATTTCACAAGTCCAAAGATAACTTGAATGACAAAAAATATTACAGGTAAAATAAACCTTATGTCCTAATGTTAAAGTCCAATTTCATTCTCTTTGGATAGCATTGTACTTCCCAAGTCTGATGAAACCAACATACATTAATTAAATATCTGGTGTCATCAAAAGTTTTCTTTATGCCTTCAGGGGCAATTTTAACAATATCCAATAAGGTTTATGCACTTCAAAAGTATTCAACTAAGTTTAATGATTCATGGGAGAAGAATGCTGTATACTACCAACAATCACTTTCCTAACACCATAATTTGATCTTGGATACAATTGGCAAAATGTCCACTATATATTTGGTTAATTGAACGAATCTGAGAAACAGACTTTATCCACAAATAAAATGCTCCGCTGGGGTGCAGCTTGATACGACCACAGAGGTCGAACCCTGAACAGTTGGGGCAAGTATGGACACAACATTCAAGCTTAATACAGCACTGAATTTGGATTGTGATTAAATATTTGACACAGCATAGGTTTCTGACACAGAATGAATGTGGTCTAAGAACTTAAAAAATTTTTAATTTGCCTATTCAAACCATATCATTATATTTGCTTTTATATATAAATCAGAAATAACCAATTTAAAATGGAAAATTTAAAGAAAAAAAAGGAAAAAAAAATCCCCCCCAAATTTTTTGAACCCCCTTATGATTCATCACCCCCAAACTCAATCCCAGCCTTCCCTTTGTGGTATGGTACTTTGCAGTACAATTTCAGAGGGATCGATTCACTTGAACACAAGTTATTGTCTGGAAACTAGAAAAATGCTTGTTTTTTGGCCCCAAAATTCCTAAACGTTTAGGTCAATTACCCCCAAACCCAAACCCAGCTTTCCCTTTGTGATATGGAACCTTGCAGTACAATTTCATAAAGATCCATACACTTACACACAAGTTATTGTCCTGAAACTAGAAAAATGCTTGTTTTTTTGCCCTTTTATGGCCCCTAATTCCTAAAATTTTGAGGGAATTACCCCCAAAATCAATCCCAGCCTTCCCTTTGTGGTATGGTACCTTGCAGTACAATTTCAGAGAGATCCATACACTTGAACACAAGTTATTGTCTGGAAATTAGAAAAATGCTTATTTTTGGCCCCTTTTTGGCCCCTTATTCCTAAACGTTTTGGACAATTACCCCCAAACTCAATTCCAGCTTTCCCTTTGTGATATGGAACCTTGTACAATTTCATAAAGATCCATACACTTGAACACAAGTTATTGTCATGAAACTAGAAAATGCTTGTTTTTTGCCCCTTTTTGGCCCCCAATTCCTAAAATTTAGAGACAATTACCCCCAAAATCAATCCCAGCATTCCCTTTGTGATATGGAACCTTGTGGTACAATGTCAGAGAGATCCATACACTTACATACAAGTAATTGTCATGAATCTAGAAAAATGCTTGTTTTTTGCCCCTTTTTGGCCTCGAATTCCTAAAATTTAGAGGCAATTACCCCCAAAATCAATCCCAGCATTCCCTCTGTGATATGGAACCTTGTGGTACAATGTCAGAGAGATCCATACACTAACACACAAGTTATGTCTGGAAGTTACAAAAATGCTTATTTTTGGCCCCTTTTTCCTTAACTGTTGGTACCATAACCCCCAAAATCAATCCCCACCTTCCTCTTGTGGTATTGAACCTTATGGTAAAATTTCATAGAGATCCATTCACTTAAACTAAAGTTAGAGTGCGAAAACCAATGTGTCTTCGGACGACGACGACGATGACGCCGCCAACGTCATAACAATATACGACCTCAAAATTTTTTTGCGGTCGTATAAAAACTACATTGACCAATGAATCAACCATCAAACTCATGGTCAAGGTCAGATGAACCCTACCAGACCGACATGTACACCTTACAATCATTATATACACCAAATATTGGATAATCATTCCTATGTCTTTCATTCTGCAACAATCTTCACAGGGAACAAAAATCAAACTCTTGTTGACAAAAGAAATTTATGAACTTGTTAAGACATCATTCCAGGTGGTAGATTTGTAATTTGGAAGGTACACAGTGTTTCACTATTAATTACAACTGGGAAATAAATGATGAAAAGACATTGTGTAATATGTGTAATATATATGGAATAAAATGTTTTAGGGACAATGTAAAAATAACATATGTACAAATTCATCTAACAAACAATAAAAGAATAATTTTCAACATTATATAGTACATCTAATTTTTATACTTATTACAATAAGGAACAGGCATTATGATGACATGAATTGAGCAATTAAAATGTATCATACCATGGTAGTATGGAAATATTCTGACATCTTGGTTATGCAAATGATTAATAGATTTTTTCTGAAATCAGTATATTAAGATCTAGTTATATAATTTATTCGTTACACTTGTTTAGCTATAGTAAAATTTAATTTACAAAACAGAACAGATATATTCATGATAATTAAGACATTCATTTAGAAGGAGAGATAATTCTAAAAAACAGTTTCTAATATATTTAACTTTAAATTCATTTTCTTAAGAGTAAGGAAATAAGTATGATGGCCCATTTTTGTCTTTTCATTTTCCAAAAATTGTACCAAAAAAATACCAATAAAGCGAAATTTGCTTGAACACAAAAATGACAAAAAAGCAATATTTCCATTATTTCCTACTTGTACCATATGAAAGCATGACAATAAGTTATTTTTTGCTAATAAAATAATGGGCACGGTAACAAAAGGATGATAGAAAAACCTGTTTGATCAGTTAGTTTCTATATTTATAGTAGCTAACAAAGAATTCATAGTTCAGCTAAAATACAGGCAAAATCAACATGTAAATTCACACACTCGAATAGTTTAGTTGTTACATATAAAACTGTATAAATTGAAAAATAGAAAGAATTGGTTTATAAACACAACTTCCCTTACTCCCCAACAGATGCTGGGTCTAGCAATGGTGTTTTCCGTATTTCTATAAGACACTACTCGTGACTGACAAATATAAAATGTCAAAGATGAACTTAACTTGTGTATACAGTGGCGTAGCAAGGTCTTTTATAAGTGTACACCCAAACCTCGGCGAGGAGTCTGAAGGCACCAAGTGACCCCAGGGCAGAGGACTTCCGGGTAGGGGCGAAACACCCGGAAGCTCACGCGTTATCGTGAAAAAGATACCATTTCTGTCATTCAAAATTCATCAATAGCAACATACTTGGTCGGTTGAGAACAAAATTTTACTACATAAGAGATGATTTCAGCTTCCCAGTTGGGAACTTTCCATTTCTATGTAGCAACATTCCAGTAGAACCTGCATGTGGAGTATATATCTCCCAGTTAAAACAATATTTCAGAACTTACATTTCCCATCATGATTTCTTTGAATGAGGTTGCTACTTACAAGGAAACTATTAAACCAAGAGTTCCAAGTGGTGAAGTTGAAAGCATCTCTTCGAAAAAATTGAACATCACTATCACGAGTTGGTTGACTGTTTCACAGATGACGACGTTGTTACCACAATACCATTCTCTTTTCCTCGAATTTGACCTAGCGAATTAGACTTATCACAGAGGTTTTACTTACATGAGCAACACGACGGGTACCACATGTGACACAGGATATGCTTACCCTTCTGGAGCACCTGAGATTACCCCCGGTTTTAGGTGGGGTTTGTATTGCTTAGTCTTTAGTTTTCTATGTTGCCTTTTATTTACTGTTGTTTGTCTTTTCGTCATTTTTCGTCTTTTGAAATGGCATTGTCAGTTTGTTTTCAACTGATGAGTTTGAATATCCCTTTGATATCTTTCGCCTCTCTTTCAAAGTTTGATTTGGTTTTTTTTCATGTTGATTTCATTGTGTTGATTTTGAATCTAATGGTCCTTTGTTTTAGAAAAAATTGTCCAAACCAGTTACTTTAGAATATCTTTAAAAGGAGATGTTGGGTAAACCAATCAGTCAACAAAAACATTTAAACTTTATAAAAATAGTAAAAAAGCAATTTCTATTAGTTATTTTAACTTCATATAATTTTCACAACTTTTTACGGGAAAATTTCGTTATTGGACACATGAAATAATATATTTTCATAGATTGTCAGGTGTAACATAAAATTGCAACCCACACATATGGTATTCCAGCAGATAATAAATTGCTTTAAACAATAGTAATATGAGTAGAATATTCACAGTAGATTCAAAGTTTGACAGAAAATGAACAAATATATAATATGATACCACTTGATTAAAAAGTAAATTTTGTCACTTTTATCTTCACTTACGAGTCCTCGAAGAAAGCATTACAATTGCTCGTATGCTTTAAACAGTTCCTTTAATTTATTTGGAACAAAATAGTTTTCCCTCCAAAATTCATGTGCACGCCCGGGCATTTTGACGTAAACGTAGCTACGCGCCTGGTATAATGGTCTCTAACAACACTTCTGTGTTTCAAGTGATATGGTAAGTATTGTAAAGAAACTCATTTGAAATATACAATGTTAACACTTATTGCCCAATCTAGCTTGCCACCCATTTGACAGGGGGGTTTTAAACACACACTATTAAATCGTCAGCTTTTTAAATGTTTTTTCCCACAGGTTTTTTTTTGCCATGGTGTTGTCTTCGTTTGACTTTCTGTTTTTGACTGACCATAGATATTTTCTAAAAATATTTGTAGCTTACAGTTGAAAATTATTTTTTTTAACATTGGACTTGTTCAAACAATAGATAAATAACACATTATTGAATATAATTAATTACAACAGACAGTTCAGAATACATTTCTATGGATAAAATAATACATATATTAAGTTAAATCTCCAACCCAGAATTTTTCAATAGTTTTTGTGTTTGAACTTGAAAATAATGAAGCAAAATGATTTACAATAAAGATGGCAAGTTTAATATCAAATAATTAAATGTCAGATGTCTTTAAAGATATGGATAGTTCAGGAATAATTCAAAATTTCATAGACTCAAATGATTGGTATAAAATATGATGTCTTTCTTTTGAATACAAGAACCTTATTGTAAAAAAATATAATCTTTTAACAATTAAATTGATATACAAATATGTATTGAATAATACTTCATTTCATATGAAAAATCTAAATATAATAAGTTAATAGGAAAAAAACGATTATATCTTAATATGAAAGCTTAATATCAGAATAAGAGGATGCCTGGTATAATTACCAATGAGTTACATATACACCCAAGACCAAGGGAGGAGTATGTAGACATCTATAAGCCTGTTATAAATGTCTGATGACATCAATTCTTGGAGCTACTGTCACTTAAGCTAGTATCCTCTCCTCCGTTGACAGTATCTTTACTTTGTGAGGGAGCCTTTGCCCGTCTATTCCTGATAAAAGCCATACCATGAGTTCGTAAGTGTGATTTGACAGCAGCCTCATTATCAAATACTTTATAACATACTCTACACTCCAGTGGATTGAGGGGTTCTGATTCCTGATCCACATCAACTTCGTCACTTTCACTTTCACTTATGAGACCTTTTCTGATTTCACTGTCATCCATCAATGCTTCAGGTAATTCAGAAATATCATTCTCTTTACAATACTTTTCAAAATCTCTGATCTTGTGTACCATAAACAAATGTTTGTTTAATGAAGGCATAACAGCAAAATTTAGTCCACATTCTAAACACTGAACGGAATTCTCCAATTTATGTTCTGTTAAATGGGTTACAAAGCTTGTTCTTTCATTGCTGGTGAATGAACATTTTGCACATGTGAATAGAGCTTCTCCATCAACCCTCAACTTTTTGAAGGGACCAGAATCATCCAGGTCACCATGCTTGCGTTTGACAGAATCATGTGTTGCATATGTTTCTGAAACTGTGTCAATTAAATCAATATCTTTTACCACAGTGTCCAAGTCTGTGGTTTTGTGTTTGGAATATTTATGTTTCATGGATAAATGCTTTTCAAGTCTTTCTTTAGAGTAAAACATCTTCTTGATGCCACGTTTCTTACAGACATGGCAGGATAGTTGTACCTTCCTCCCTTCATGGGTGACCATTATATGTTTTCTTAACATTTCCTGTGACTGGTATGTCAAGCTACATAAATGACATGGATAGATTCCTGTATCGCTGTGATGTTCCTTGTGGTGTTTAGCTAGATCTGTTTTGTTGAAGCAAGTAAAGCCGCAGACATCACATGGATACTCTATACAGGGAAGTACCTGTTTCTTCTTTTTTACCCTTTTCATTTTTGTATCCTTCACATCAATTTGTTTTTCTACCTTCCGTGGACAAACTCTTTGATGTTCATGTACTGCTGCTAAGGTAGAGAACTCTTGAAGCTGACACATATAACAGATCAAATCTCCTTTGGTCTGATGATATAACAGGTGACCTTGTAAAGATTTACGAGATGTTTCTTCTTTAAAACACAATGTACATTTAAATGGTCCATTGTCTTCCTCTACTTCAGGTTGAATGGCACCTTTCTTCAGCCTTTTGTCTTTCATAACTTCAAAATGTTTCACGGTTGCTGCCTTGGATGGATCTGGGTTGATACAGTAATGTGTCTTATTTCCACCGTTACCACAGAAGATAATAAGTCCACATGTGCGACATTTATAGTTTGTCATATGTTGCTCTGATGTCTTAACAGAATGCATCAACAGCTCATGCTTCAGAATGTCATAAAGATGTTCAAATAATTTTCCACATTCTTGACATTTACAAGTGTACATCTTGCTGGCGATACTAGTTGGCTTGTCAACTATGCCTCCATGTTTGTTTCTTGTGTGTACTTTTATATCTGTGCGTGTTTTGAACCATTGCTTGCAAAATCTACAACGGTACTCCACACAACTTTTGATTCTTGCCTCGTTTACATGTTTCGTTATGTGTATATCCAACACAGATTTATCATCCATCACTGAATCACACAAATGACATCGATAGATCACTTTATAGCTTCTTTTAGTGCCTAAGTTATCATGACTTGCTAAATGTTTCTGAAATGATTGTGGTAGTTTGAAAGCCATTGGACAATGCTGACATTTGTAATACTGTTCTAACTTCTCTGATACATGTAATTGATACTCTTGGAGAGAAGTACATATCACATCATTCTCACATTTTGTACATTGTATTTTCCTCATACGACAGGTGTGAAAACAGGTGTAATACACATGATAGGCAAAGGATTCTTTGGGATTAGACATCTTTTCGTCTATGTATAATGTTGAGAAACTTTTGCCACATTCAGGACATATGTATGGTTCCTTGTCATCATGGATACGCTTGTGTGCTCTTACCGAACAAATAGTTGGATGTAGTTTCTTACATGTACTGCACGAGTACTGTGACATGTCCTCATTATCGTAGCCAAAATGTTTATAAACTTGTTTATAAATACCTCCACACTCATGGCATCTATGGAATCCTTCTTCCTTCTTGATAGTACTTTTTATTGGTTTTGACAGCGACTGGTCTTTTGCAGGACTATGAACTAGTACAGTTTTTTTCTGAACATCTTTCGGTTTGACCGTTGACTGAATCACCTTTGGTCTTGTGGGTAGTGACTCTGGTTTTGTATCTATGTCATCAAGCCATTTAAACAAGTAGTTCATGTTTGAACCATGGTCCAATGTTGTTATGGAAATGGAGTCAGACTTTATATGAATTGGCACAGCTTGCGACTTGTCAATATTTAAATGATTTCTCAAATGCCCCAAAAACTGACATTTGTTGAAAAAGATCTTTGTTGCTTTACATTCCTCACATCTGTAGCTTAAAGACATACTTGTCCTTGATCTATGAACTCTCAAGCTAGACTCAAATAGGAAGGTGTCACCACATTCATAGCAAATATTTTTGCATTTTTCTTCTGCAATGAGAGATTTTAAATTATCTGGTACTGGTGGTGGTTTATAGTTAGGTATAGGGTTTTTCCTGGCTATCAGTTCTGTTATGGCACTTAAACCAACTGTGTCAATATTGATTGTACTTTTAGATAATGGCAACTGTTGTGAGGCAGGTTTGCAGGTGCTTGTTGATGGAACTACTTTGGTTACCGTAAACACTGAAGAAGCTGGAACATTTAGTGTCTTTCCATTAGACACTACAGTTAAAGTTTGAACTTGAGTAGCTACTGGTCCTGGTTTAGACTGAACAGGTTGTTCTGGTCTGGAATGTACAACTTGTACATTGGGTGCAGGATATAACAAACTAGAAGCAGATGACACAACAATTGTTGGTGGTACCACTGGCTGCAGCATTACCCTGGGTCCTGCCTGTATAACATTAGTAACATTACTTCTTGACAGCATTGTGCGCTGTATCTGCAGGGGAGTTACCGACACATTATCATTTGGATAAGGATTACAGATCATATCTACAGCCGGTGTAGGCTTGGGTCTTCTGTTTGAATGTGGTCTCCCTGTTGTACTTTTTCTCGCTATATTGTGAATTCTTGGCCTTACAAGATTATCAACTTGTCTAGATAAATGTTCAAGACTATTTGATGTTGAAATTGCTGGAGGCAGTGGACTGGCCATCACATTGGATTTATTACTATAAGTATCTACTGGTTCCTGTTTAATTTTTATTCTTGCAGGTGGATGGAATGTTCCTGATGTGGAAACTGTTGACGTTGTTGTACCACTTTTATTGGTTGGACTAGAATGTGAAGTTGATGTTTCAGAGTTTGTTGAAGCTAAAATATCAAGAATATCCCCAGATTCTTCCATTGGTCCTAAACTAAAACTGTTTTCTGTTTTAATTGCAGCTGTTGATAGACTTGTAGTAGCATCTGATTTAGTTGTTGGTATCAAAGCCTGCATAAATGACCTTCCACCTTTAGTCCTTAAAGGTGAAACAATTTCTGGCTCATGGCTTTTGTCAGCAGTGCCATCCATACTTTCTTTATCTTCTTGACTACCAACTGAACAAGATGGCTGGGAAACTGGTGTTGGACTTTTTTGATCAGGTATATTTTCATTGCTGTTTTGATCTAGTTCTTCAGCACTAGTTTCTGTGGTTTCTTTACCATCTAAACTTTCTTCATTTGGAATACCAGTGGTTTTATCTAAAGAAGTCTCAAAATTCTGAACTTCCACTGCTTGAGTTTCTCTTGACTCCTTAGGGACTTCTGTATCAATTTTGTTTTGTTTATTCATGTCTGAAATTTCATCCGTTGAAGTTGCATCATCCATTCCATGCTCAGAATCCTTGATATTAATATCTTCTTTTTCAGAACTTGCCGTATTTTCATGTGTAATTTCTGCCCTCAGGACAGAAAAAATATTATCTCTATCTTTCTTTTGAGCTGTAATTGATTTTGAAGAATCAATTTTCCTGATAACATTTGAAATTTTTTGTAAATAGTTGCTACTGGAAGGTTCAGTACTAATGCCCTGTGAGTCACCTTTAGTACAAGGATCCTGTGAGTCCGGTTCCATTGGCTGATCATCATCAACAGCTTGTTTTTGTGTACTTTGATCTTCCATAACTTCATGTTCCCTGCAATCTTCATTGCTATCTCCTTGGATTTCTATAGCGAAATCTGTAATATCATCATCTGTACTTGTCCCCCTTTCTGAGTCACACATCCTGTTCTCAGAACATGCCAGGTCCACTGCTGGTTGCAATTCATTAGCTATTGTCACATTCTCTAATTTTTTCTGCGTACATGAGTTATCTCCCATAGAAGGAGATTCAAAGCTACTATTAAACTGTCCCGTTACTTGGAGTTTGTCCCAGATATTCTCATTGTGTTTTGATTTAACGTTTGGTTCTTCCTCATTTTGATTATCTGAGCTTGAAACTGTCTGATCAGAAATTTGCTTTTCATCCATATTCAACAGACTGACATTATTTGGACTGCAATTTGTGGCATACTCACTGCTTTGATAACTCTCTCCAGAATCATTTATATCATTTGTTCTATCAAAATTAGTAGAATCTGCTATTTGCTTAGAATCAGAAACATCCAACTCAGTTACTAGAGGTACTTGATCATTCATAGAAAACTCATTGGCACAAACATCTTGATCATCTCCAATTAGTTCCTGAAATAGATTGAGAACGGGCTTATCTCCCATATCTATGCATGAAAGGAAATATGACAACAATAAATAACTGAAGTTATTTTTTTGTAAGGTTATTGAAAGTTCACGGTTTAATACGCACACAATTTACTCTTATATTTTATAATTGTAAAGTTTAAAATCAAGAAAATCTGTTTTGATATTTAATATCAGTTCAGTTTTTCTTTGGATTATCTCCCTTTGACTTAATTATCTATCTTCTATTCATAATATTCCATAAATCCATGTATTGCTTTTAATTGTTACTTTCTTAAAATAAAATATCCACCCTTAATTGCTTATGAAAGAGGACTATTTATAAATTACTACTTGAAAGGCTGTTATGGCAAGTAAACATTTTTGAACAAATATTTTCTAAATTGTTTAAATCCATGATTAATATCAGAAAAAAGAAATTTGCAAATTGCTCACATGTTACAAACTATCTCTGTCAATACAACCTGCTGATGAAATATAAAGTCAATCTGTTCAGTAGTAATGGAGAAATGTGTGACAAAAAGTGTTCAGCTTTTTCATAATACTGAAACATTTAAAAGTACCACACTTTGCAAACAAGGATCTGAAAACGCTCCTTTCTACTTTCTATTTGAAGACCTTTCCCAATTCTCAGGATTTGTTGTAATTATACACAGCTACAAAATTTGGAAGCAGAAACTTCATTGGCTGACATTATAGTTCAATGTTGTTATCAGAACAGAAAGTAGAATATCAAGTGTTATCAGATCCTTGTTGCTCAGTCTTTAGTTTTCTATGTTGTGTTTTGTGTACTACTGTTTGTCTGTCCGTCTTTTTCTTTTATAGCCATGGCATTGTCAGTTTCTTTTTCGACTTATGAGTTTGAATGTCCCTCTGGTATCTTTTGCCTCTCTTTTGTAAGTGAAGCCATTACACAGGTTATGTATTTCAATCAGATTAAATCTAACACTTGCAATGACCAGGGGAGATAATTCATTCCATAGATTCTGTATTTCAATCAGATTGTATGTAATATTGCAATGACCAGGGGAGATAATTCATTGCATAGGTTCTGTATTTCAATCAGATTGCATTTAAACTTGCAATGACCAGGGGAGATAATTCATTGCATAGGTTCTGTATTTCAATCAGATTGCATTTAAACTTGCAATGACCAGGGGAGATAATTCATTGCATAGGTTCTGTATTTCAATCAGATTGCATGTAAACTTGCAATGACCAGGGGAGATAATTCATTGCATAGGTTCTGTATTTCAATCAGATTAAATCTAAAATGTGCAATGACCAGGGGAGATAATTCATTCCATAGATTCTGTATTTCAATCAGATTGCATTTAAACTTGCAATGACCAGGGAAGATAATTCATTGCATAGGTTCTGTATTTCAATCAGATTAAATCTAAAACGTGCAATGACCAGGGGAGATAATTCATTGCATAGATTCTGTATTTCAATCAGATTGCATTTAAACTTGCAATGACCAGGGGAGATAATTCATTGCATAGGTTCTGTATTTCAATCAGATTACATGTAAACTTGCAATGACCAGGGGAGATAATTCATTGCATAGGTTCTGTATTTCAATCAGATTGCATATAAACTTGAAATGACCAGGGGAGATAGTTCATTGCATGACAATACCTGATTATCTTCTTGTACAGGACAATTATCTTCCTTTGTAACTTCCACTGATGAGGATTCTTCACTTGAACAGAATAAGTTTATCTGAAAGAAAAATTAGGTTGATGAATAAAAATATTTCAGAGATTCTTAATATGAGTTAATATTCAAAGAAAATATATATTGGAACTTGTTTTCCTTATGTTACTATTCTATATTGCCTTTCAAGTTGATATAAAAAAAGGAGATGTGGTATGAATGACAATGAAACAACTATCCACCAAAGTTCAAATGAAGTGGATGCATGCAATTATAGCCAACCGTACAGCCTTCAACAATGAGAAAAACCCATACCATATAGTTGGCTATAAAAGGACCCGACATGAAAAATATGAAACAATTCAATTGAGAAAACTAAGGTCAAATTTAAAGAAATAGAAAAAATGTAATTATAAAAACTATTAGTAGACAGTTCTCTCACACAAGCGAGTTTATATTTGTAAAGCATCTTGTGATAAGATCTTAGGTGTACATTGTAAATACCCAGTCATAATTAATTAAGTCTAGTGTACTGTGTATTTAGAATAAACTAAACTTTAAATTATGTTCATTGTTTTTTTTTTTACCAAAAAAGAATTTAAGTTGATTAATTAATTTTATACAAATTTCAAGTTCTTGCTTCAAAAAAAATACTTTAGACAAATATAAGATAAGTGATAACAAATTATCTATTCATTGTAAACACCTTTGTATGCATATTTATGTTTCACACCTTTGTGCATATGTGCACATTGGTGCATATATAAACATTGTGGATCTGTAAACTTCTCTCAATTATTGAAATAAGCGTATTTGTTCCACAAAATATGACTGCTTTGTTATCTATGGATGTCACACATATGCATACTAATTATGATTATCTCTCCATCCACTTAAGGATAACCTCCATATTGAGTATTTAATGTAGGGATTTCAAAGATTTATCTTACATCATACTATGATATTTCACTTTTAAAAGAACACCACATTCACATAAACTCAGAAAAATGTCATAAAAGGACCCAACTTTTTACAGCAAAATATAAGAACAATAAAATTGTTTAGATAACCACAGGGCACACTGACATAAATGTTGGGATAATTTGGCAGTAAACAATATATGAGCATAGGAAATAATTTGGATGGTCTGCAATTTACATAAAAAAAACTGGCAGAAAGAGAGAAAATGATGAAGTAAATATGAGAAGAGTTATCTCAGAGAAAATACACCATTTCTGCTCCTACATCAGGCGGAAACCCAGTTGAAATTAAACAAAAGAAATGGAACTCTTTGTTAGAGAAGGTAAACAAGCAAAATTTGTATACTTTAATTGTTTACATCTGTTTCTATGAGCTTTAAAAGTTTAATAAAGGTGCATAATTTAGGATTTTATGCATCTTACATACATGTTTTTACATGAATTTATAGTATGGAGCTTAGAGATATTTGTAAACTTTTAAATAATAGAAACAATTTTCACAAAACAGTCAATTGTGGTAGGTGCAAATACAACTGGATCATTTTTGTGCATAAGCATGAATTCCGCCGAAAAAAATTCCGAAGACAGATAACAGCTAGACCTTTTAATAATTTGCATCTCTGCCCCTGGCGACAGTTTTTTGGAAAAAAAATCCCGAAAATATAATTTCATCAAAAAGAAAGTCAAGTACACCTTTTTTTGTTTAGGCGTGTTTGAGTTGACTATCATGACTATTATGACTTGAAAACGTATAAAAGAAAAATATTTCACACATCACCTCGCTTCAGATTCTATTAATTTTATATTTTGGGGCTCTAGGTTGATATAATAACATTAAAAATTTACAGAACTAAAAAATAAAATATATTGGTCAAGTGAATTACCTTTCTAGTGAGTCATAACAGCAGAATAGGTGAGGTCGAATAACAAATTTTTACTAAAAGTACTTGACAGACTTTTCAGTTGGATCTTAAAAATGCATATCTTCAAAAAAACTTCCATTTTTTGTGTGTGTTATCAAGGATAATTAGTCTTCAACCTCTGAAAATTTTTAGTCTGCCCTTCCACGAAATAATTAATTGGAATTTTTTTTAATATTTTTGAACTTTCAAAAATTCCACCTGACAACCGATCAGATAATAGTTTTAAGTTGACTGCATGCAGACAAGTACATTAACTAATGCTCATTAGCTAGTAGATACATTTGTCTTTTAAAATGCAACTGGCATATAAGGATCGTAATGGTGCTATGTGGATATATTTATCGGTTTTCAAGAGCTAAATTGACAGCGTGTCATCACTACAAAGGCTTCCATTTTTACGATTATAAAAATTAGGTGGCGTAATGGGGAGATAATTTTGACGAAGTAGAATCCTGACTGTACATGTGGCTTTGGCTTCTACAAAACATTTTTAGTCTGTTTAATACCTCATTCTTTTCATGCATGTCTGTTTCTTTCTGTGATAGGTAACTTTCTTGTGTTCTACAAATCTACAAATACATGTAGATAGGAATTACTGTCACATATTGGATAAACCATTAATCAGGTTCCAGATTTATATGAGAAGTTACAGAACTTTATAAACATGAACATTATTTCATGAACTAATCAGTAATAAGTTTCAAGATTCTATTTATTTTCTGCTCTCACTACTGTGTGAATGTCATGCATGCTACTCTTGAGAAGAGGATATTTGATATTTTAAAAACTCAAGCCACATTATACTATTTCCTCATCTTAGTTCATACTGCCTTGCACAATTGTTATTTTTCTGCATGTTTCAGTTTTGTATATTGGTCTTTTAAGTTGTGTATATTTATGGATATTTTTATGTTCGCAGGTTTCTGATACATTTTGTACTTCCACCTTTGTTAAATGAGACTACAGATGTTCATATTGAGAATAAGTACAAAAATAAACTATGGACTTTAGAATTAACATACAATGCACCAAGGTGTTTCGTAATGGCTGACAACTACCAGTATAAAACATGACATATTACATTGAAACATTCTGTTAATTCCACCATAACATATAAGAGCTACCATCATTAAAAAGAGTGGAAAGGATACAACTGCCATAAAAAATAGGAGAAAATTCAAAATGAACATTGTTAGAACTACATAAGTCTTCATTAAAACCATGTCAAATAACATCTGATTATTTCCATTTATAGCCTATATAGCTAGAGAACTCCATCAGTACTGAGCTGATGCTTTGATAAGATAAGTTATACCTCATTGTCCTCTTCATTCACAGGATTACTTCCTTCAATAGTTGTGTCATCTGTTACAGGTACACCAGATCCATCCTCAAACTCCATATCAGTAACAACCTCCTTCTCAGGATCACCTCCATCATTAGTGCTTTCATCATTGGCAGGTTTAGAAGATCCATCTAATTCATCAAGACACTCCATACCATTATCAGCCTCTGAGTCCTTTCCCATTCTGTCTACAGAAGAAACCATCATAGTTGATGACAATGCCTCTTTGCTAGTTTCATCTGGTTGTGCAGTACCATCTGGTTTGTCTTTACAATCAGAATTCCCAGAATCAGTAATGGAATGGCTGTTGTGTTGTAAGTCTGCTGTATTCTGGTCAGACATGATTTCTTCAACCCTTTCCATTTCTGAGTTTGGTATTAGGGAACAATTTTCTGAAGTCTCCTGTTGAATTGTTGGGCTGTTTATTTCCATTTCTACAAATTCATCCTTTGATTAATATTTCTCATATCTGTTCTGTTTACCATTTATTAGTTTCTTCTTTATAAATACATGTAGGTCCTGTAATAATAATACATCATCTTCAAATTTGCTTTAATAGTGCTACAGAAAAAATCATACAGATAACATTTATAGATTACTTTATTTTTTACCATTTCTTCACCATGTTCACATCATAATTTGTTTATCCCTGCATGCAGCAAGCATACATTTTTGTACAAGAACTATAATAAAATTTTTACTTTTAAGTTCATTAATAATTTTTTAAACAATCATATATTTTTTTTCTTCAAATATCAATAACCAGCACTAACCTTCTGTAGGAATATTATAGATACATGTGACAACTAAGATTGTTCATCTAAAATGTACCATTAGTTCATCATTACAGAAATAAGAAGATGTGGTATGATTGACAATGAGAAAACTATCCACCAGAGACCAAATGCCAGGCTTTAAACAACTATAGGACACTGTTTAGCCTTTAATATTAAGCTAAATCCATACAGTACAGCAAACTATAAAAGCTTAAGGCTCCTGCCAAAATGTTAAACATTTCAAGAGAAACCCAACAGCCTCATTAATGTTAAAGCAATAAACGAAATCAAAATGGATATAATTAGGCTGTTAGTTTGTTTCATATTTTCATGTCGGGGCCTTTCAAAGTGGACTGTACGGTACGAGTTTTTCTCATTGTTGAAGGCCATACAGTTGCCTATAATTGCTTACATCCACTTCATTTGAACAGATAGTTGTCTCATTGGCAATCATACCACATCTCCTTATTTTCATATCTGTGGGAGTACCTTGCCATGCAATTCCATTTAATCCTTTAAAGAGTCAGTCTATTTGTATTTATACATGTTCACTTGAAAATGAGAAACACTTCGTTATAAAGAATGTTTTTGCTTCATCAATTCAAAATGACTGCCTTTATATAATGACATACCATGACTTACATGACTTATACATGTTATATGGGTAAAAAACATCCTATTTGAACCAAAACAATCTTTTATGTCATACTGACTATTTCAACACAATAGCATGGATAGGCATTATATTTGTCAATATCTTTATACCCTGCAATACAAGATAGTTGTCTACCCATGTCAAAATGAGCATAGAAACTAAATATTTTTGACATAACATGCTGGATTTATGGCATTTAAAACATTAGGATTTCAAATTGAAAAGCAGTAATAAAATTGTGGTAAACAAAACAATACATGAACAGTTTCACATTAGTTATTATTGGCTTTTAACTAGCTGTCAGTAACTGCGAGTACTCTCATACCTGTACTTATTATTGTCTTTTTATTTGTGTGAATGTATAAATACCCTGCCACGGCCGGTCTGCGTTTTTGTTACATGTTTTTCTGCTTTGTAACGATCTGATGAGTTCAGGCGTTTTCGATTGATTTTAATAGTTTTTTCTTATGTTGTACTGTTACACCACTGTCCCAGGTTAGGCGCCAAAAAACTAGTTTATGGGTTTTGCTCATTGTTACATGACCTACATGTATAGTTGTAAACTTCTATGTCATTTGGTCTCTAGTGGAATGTTGTATCATTGGCAATCATACCACATCTTCTTATTTTTATGAACACAGTGACCTCTTAGAAAAAGAAAAAAATCCACTTAGGCAAAGGGAAAATGTGTGTGCTTTTAACATGTTTAAATTTTATCCATGAACAAAATAGGCATTTCAATTTTATTTAATTTGTTGCAGTCATACATTTGAAAATATCACAATTTGTAAGCAGACATGGGGTCAATTACTTTTGAAAGTAATTAATTACATTAAATTACATTTAAAAATCTTCATTTAAATTACACATTACATTCCACCTTTATATAAAATATTGAAATATTGAAATCATGCATCCTATTTTTCATGTCAGGGCCTTTTATAGCCGACAATATAGTATGGGTTGCCTATAGTTGCTTACATTCACTTCGGAGGATAGTGGTCTCATTAGCAATCATACCACATCTCCTGATTTTTATATTTATTCTATAATTCTATAATATGTACATAAGTATTCAACATTCAAATATAGTGAACAAATTTTTGCAAGATATGAGTTTTTGTCATGTGTATATTCCCTTTGAGAGTTACATGTACCTAGGGGTATATTATCTCAATCTATTGGATTAGCACCTGTTGAGCATGCAAACATAACTGTTGTAAAAACAGTCATTATATAGTTTATAATAAAACAAATAGCCAGAGTTATATATTTATATATTAATTAACTATATAGATGTCCTTTAAAGCTGATTATGTTTAATCAATGTCTAACAATATCTATCTGAATATACATGTACCGGTAGGTAACAATCTAACTAAGGTATAACATGTATCAGACAGTGACTTACTAACGGTTTCTTTTAAACACAAATTATGGCATGTTTCTACAATCTTATTTTTTCTTATTTTTTTGTTCAATCAATATAAAATAAAGAATCTCCCATTATTGTGTAATTAAAGAAGTATTCCTGCGTATGCTTTGCTTTGTCAGCTAACTACATCATTTTTGTAGATGTACATTTACTAAGGTTATGGCTTTTCATAATTTTTTGAGAAAACACAAGATTCAATCTTTCTGATCCAAAATTTCAAATGTAATTGAGTCAGTCATGGGTACTACTTGTACAAGTCATTTTTATTTACTTGAAAAAGTAAATATTAATATACTTATATAAGTAAATTTGTAGGATACTTATACAAGTGTATTTTATTTACTTGTATAGGAAAAAAAAATTGGGCTTAGTTATGTCCCTCAGACATTCAAATTTTTTTACTTATACTAATCATTTAAGTGTAATCTCATGGACAATGAAAATCTCATTTGTCTGTTATCTTCAGAACACTGCTCATTTCGAGCCCCCAAATACTTAAGATCTTTGCACAATCAGTTTCTTTGTTGAATTAATGAGCTGAAACATTGAACTCTAATAAAAAATTTTGAGCTAACCTGAGAAAAATTGTTAAAGGCATGTTTTTACATCTCAAAACTTGAGAATTTTTGTGGGATTGTAAAAAAAAATTCTTCAAGTAAATAAAGATTACTTGTACAAGTAGTACCCCTGACAGTGAGCTGTAATTGAGAGGTAATGGTCAATTACAGTCAATTTTGGCTATGTAATTCATTACTTTCAATTACTTGTAATTGAAAAAATGCTAAATTACACACATGACACATTACATTCAATTACTTGAGAAATTGTAATTAATTACAGTCAATTACAATTACATATTTCAATTACCCCATGTCTTTTTGTAAGGTTCATCCTAGTTTTAGTAATAGAAACTTATTTTAATTTGGGACCAGCCATCCAAATCAGTTTTAATAACCTGATTGGGATTTGAATCTACAAAGGAAAAAGTCTAGATTTTTTTTATTTGAGCAATTTCTTTTTTATCAATCATGTCAATAGTAGCAACTTTCCTAGAAACTGAAAAAGTAGCTTTATTGATCCCTTGAAAACCTCAATCTTCGAAGAGACCAATTGAAATCTATTAAATTATAAAGAGGTTTCCAAAATAGTTGTAAACAAAAACTGTTGTCTTTTATGTAATCCTTTTTCATTTTTGTTAGAATGTAGATTGGCATGGTCAGTGGGTTATCATAGAGTTATTGTCCTTTGCATAGTTTCTTGCATATTATGTTCCGAATACTGTTTTGTAATTAGAATTCAGAATTTGATGAGAAATTTGATGAGAAACGTTTGTTATTGTATGTGTCTCTTAGCCTACAAAGAAAGATGTGAGCAAGCTTCCCTAAATGGTTGAGGACCTGGGCACTTAGTGAACTCTCAGTTAACAATAATTCATGAACAAGACCCGCGAGACAAATTTTGTAAGCAAATGCGGTATCGATCAGAACTAGACAGTATATAAAGTGAAACTACATAGCCAATACTTCATCATTTGAACAGACTGACAATACTTTTTACAAAATCAAACACATTTTGGCTCAACGAATACGGAACGAATGTTATGAATATTAATTTTAAGTGCAATATAAAGGTGAACCTGCACAAAATGCAATATGGACTGTGGAGGATCAGTTAAATGAAGCCGCAAAACAATCTTTAATCAAAAGGACTTTATGCAGCATTTGAAATTACTCAGTTAATTGATATGTTGACATTTTAAGTAGAAATGATTGCATTTCCATATTATAGACTCTATAATTATTAATTTGACAAGTTTTTTCAGTTAGTTTTATGTTTCAGCATAAGTTGATTTTCCTATGTCATTAAATTGCTTTTTAGTAAAGTAGCTAGTTAAAATTATAAGAAATGAACAAAAAAGAAAAGGAGAAAAGATGATAAGAAATAGTAGAAAATCTCAAGGTTTTTTTGTGTGTGTATTTGTTATGTAGTTTTTTTTTAATTCAATTTATTGTGTACAAATGATATTTTATTTTTGATTATTGATGACTGTTTTACACATATATAAAATTATGACAATTTTCCCTTGAGTCAGATAAGAATTTACAGTTCAATGAGAAAAAAACAAATGTCACACATTGTTGTCGGATGTCATAAAATATTTTGAGAAGTCAATGTGGTTAATTCCGGTTTCAAGTGTAAACCAAAAATGGAATACCTATTTATAAACAGTACTCTCGTAAAATCATCATTTTCATTAATACCTTTGAAAACATGCTTAGTTTGTAGTGTTGTTCATTTTATAAGGGTGGTATACATTCATGTTACAGTGTTATTCACATTGTATATATATATATATTTACTGTGAGTCAAAATATACCGTTTAAATGATATTATAGCACTGAGTTTGAGTCTTCGAGAGTTACGTAGTATTTGATGATGATTGATTTATTTGCATAATCATTTTTTGAATGTTTTGAAATCTCACTGATCATCTGAAACAAAATAGATTTTTTTTGTTGGGCCGAATGTGAGAATGTGCTATTGGCATGGTCAGTGGGTTTTCATAGAGTTATTGTTCTTTGCATAGTTTCTTACATATAAGACTATGTACCATTATTTCAACATCTTGATGCATTTAATAAACTAAAACACATTCTAAACCCCATCCCTGAACTTGTTTGTCATATTGGAGTCTTTATTATGCAGTCTTTAGAACTGAGGGGGTCAGACCCATGTCAGACAAGCTTATGATTGTGTTTTTTACATAAATTTAAAATTGAACTCTTAAAATATGTTCTATTATATTGAATTGTATTACATTGTATTGCATTGTATTTAAAATGTATAATTGTTTGTATTGCTTGACCCTTATGGGTGTAATTTTGCAATAAAGATTATTATTATAATGTTCCAGATTTGTAATTAGAATTCAGAATTAGAATAGAAATTTGATGAGAAACGTTTGTTATTGTGTTTGTCTCTTAGCCTACCAAGAAAGATGTGAGTAGCTTCCCTAGACTTTGAACTTTTTTTTAAAGTCAGAATTTTTGTTGTTGACACAGTTATGACATACAAGTAGTATGTTAGATAATCTTTATTTGTTCGTTAATCCAACCCATTTCTACCTTTTGCAGATCATTCATTGGTGTTCTAATATAATTCTTTCTAAAAAAAGTTGGTCCTGGCAGTTAAAATTAAGGTTAAATTACATCCCTGATCAATTGTAAATATCATTCTTTATCTCCTCGTCTGCCCATTGACTCTTATACAAAATGTAATGTAAAATACTATAAAATCGTAGACAACAGTAATGACACCAGATAAACATTGTAATTAAATTACAAATATGACAAACAGGTAAATACAAGTCTTAATCATCTTCATTACACAATTATTCAGGTATTACACATTAAAGTATGCCAAACCAAATTACCAATATTTGGTATGATCATCTGTGTACAAAATTATTTCCAGAGTTTTAAAGTATTATACGACATATTTTGCTCCTTGGAAATATATTCAATCACAAGTACAACACTGAATAAAATAATAATGAAAGCAAGTTATAACTTAAATACTATATATTTCCAGCTTTTTAATGTTTTAACATAATTACTATTATATATCAATAGTAAAGTACATCAATTTTCTTTTGATTTTATGTGTGTAAAATTTGTCATTTGATTCTGAGACTATAAATAACATATTTTGGACATTTGATTTATATTATTTTTTTAACCAATTTAATAGTTGACAAAATTTTTATTGATAATTGACCACCTAGTGTTGAGATAAATTGCACATAATCAAATGAAAGGAGACAGTGTCTGCGCGACCCCGCATGCGGGGATGTGTAGCCAAATTGGCCTTCATAGGCTACGCCTACCCGCTTCCAATTTTATAATAAAATGTCATCGGATCGAGAATGAAACATGAAATATATGGGGAAATTATCACAATTAGTGAATAAATTGATTACCACTCAGAAGTTTTATAAACATTTATTTTATATAGTAAGTGAACAGTTTTTCTCTGAGTTAATGAATAGTCTTAAAATGTGATATATACATGTATGTGGGGAATACATTTCAGTTATTTGTTCAAAATTATACCAATCAAATAACTACATACAATTGTATAAAACAAACTCAGAATCAATTGCGTCTTTAGAGAAAAATAAATATTTACTAGAAAAAAAATTTCACACCCGAGTTTTCACATAGCTTTTTTCAAATTCAGTATAAATTTTATTCTTTTGATGTCCATTTACATTTAATTTCTTATTTTTATCATGTTCTCTTTTAAAGGGACTGCACATGTACAGTTTTATTCCTTTAATGTGCATCTAATTTGTAATATTTATTATGTATTTTAAACTAATAAATACAAATTTTAAAATTATTAGTTGCCATTCTCTTTACTGAATTCACAAAATCTGCAAATTTGATACTGATAATTTCCTTGTATATTTCACAAGTCATTCCCGATCCGATGACATCTTTATTATTAAAATTTAATGTGCATCTAATTTGCAATGTTTATTATATATTTTTAACAAATAAATACAAATTTAAAATTACTAGTTGCCATTCTCTTCTCTGAATTCACAAAATCCGCAAATTTGATACTGATAATTTCCGTGTATATTTCACCTTTCATTCCCGATCCAATGACATTTTTTATTATAAAACCTTGATGCAGGTAGCCTAGCCTAGGAAGGCGCTAATTTGACTACTCGTCCTCGCATGCCCGGTCGCACAGACACTGCCATGAAAGAACGTATCAATCCTATACCAGCTGATCTTTAACGTAAGAGTTATTGACCCTCATGACTGATATAGCTGTGTAAAGGTATATTTGTTATACTTTTCGAAGTTCACAGGCAATATATTTTTCGATAAGGGAACACAACTTTTGAACAGACTAATTAAAACTAATACTGGAACAAATTAAAAAAGCGCACAACACTTTAGTTTCTGCAAAATTTAGCATTTATTTTAAAGGAACCTGCTCAATGCCAATGGTTATTCAAAAGTGTCTTTTAAAACAGTATAAATGTTTTTGCACTGACAGAAAATGATGCATAGCTTTATTTTAGAGCATTTAAATCTTTAATTAAATATGACAGATTTATTCTGTAATGCACATGTAGGAAAATCATCAAATTATACTTGTTTACGCAGTAAACAGGTTTTGTTCAATCAATATATTATCAAAATGGCCGTCAAGTCATCTTCCGGATCAATAACAAAAACTGTGTCACTAATGTGGCCGATTCAATGTGTAATGTCGGATAGCAATTATGTGTTATTGCAATAGTGCATTGGTTTTAGAATTTTGTTGTCGATAGTATCTTACCATAGATTACATTATCTACGTTTTAAAAGTATGTTGACTAGTTGAAGAAAGATCATCCTCATTTTTTTCCCGATCAGTTTATCACGTGATCAATCCCACAAATCTCGAAAACCGCTAAACGAGCAAAGTAAACAGGTGAAATGGAAAGTACAAAAATAACATTTTTGGCTAATACAATATTGGTAAGGTTAATAATTTATAAACTTCTGCAAAATGTTGAGAAATCCTCTCCAAATGTAAAAATGATAAAAAATAGAACTCTATATTTCCATTTAAAATATACCCCCTTTTTCTTTACACACTAGTGATTGCAAAAACAAATTTATTGTGCACAAGTGCCCTTATATTATACAATGTTTGTCAGATTTGCAGATTAGATTCTTCAGTCTGTATTCAAAGTAGATGAGATACAATCATGTTTATTGTGAAAACTACATTCATTACTACATTTATAAAGTCAATGAGACAGCAACCAAACAAAAAGACAAACATTTCTTTTTCTTCTTCCAAGTTAGGAACCGAATTCTTAAATGAATGTGTATGGTACCACAAGAACTTTGTGCAGTGTCGGTCAGCACTTCTCAAAGCTATTTACATTTAAAACGTTCATCAATTTAGGGAGCGTTACCATTTAACTTCAAGGGGGGTGGGGTTATGGTTTTTGTCTGAGTCAGAAATTTTTTTCACACATACTTTTTTTTTTTTTCGACTCTTATCAATCAAATTATTTGTTTTCTTCAAAATTTAACACTATAAGGTATGGAGAAAATATGGATTCAGAATATTTTTTTTTTGTCATCTGCATGACCACAATATTTTTTTCCATCAAATTGGGGATCAGAATATTTTTTTAAGGAAAAACCCATAATCCTCCCCCCCCCCCTCCCCCCCCCTTTGAAGTTTATATAATGGTCGTTCCCTTACAATTAAAACTATTTACAGGCTGTGCTGTCTACTTCCTTTCAGAGCCTCAGCTTTCAGAGTAGCTCTGAATCCCTCTATCTTGTGTCTGCTGAGGTGACTTTCGATGGAAGTTGGTTGCAATCCTGGATGGTCTTTCAATCTTCCAATGGGGGCCTCGGTGGCCGAGTGGTCTTAGTAGTTACTACTGTAATCACTAGCCAGTCAACACTGAGGTTGTGAGTTCAAACCCCGCTCGTGCGGGTGCACTCGACTCCAATCTTAATTGAATAGGATTGTCAGTTTTCCTATCGAAGGTCGGTGGTTTTCTCCGGGCACTCCGGTTTCCTCCACCATTAAAAACTGGCCGCCACGAAATAGCCCAAAAGCGGTGTTTAAAAGTGCGTTAAAACACCAAAAATCAAATCAAATCGATCTTCCAATGATGTAAGGTTTTTTTGCAAAAGGTGGCTGTCTGCCTGGTTGTTGATCGTTCTAAAGAGAAGGCTATCCTCTGGAAATAGTTTCGTTTCAGATGACTCTGATGTTTCTGGCATGTCATTTATTTAGGTCAGAAACAATAGCGGTCCAAGAACTGTGCCTTGGGGAACGCCAGATAGTACAGGGACTTAAAAGGAGACAGCTCCTTCTAATATTACGCTCTGCTTTCTATTTAGGTCAACATATGCTGCCCCTCTTGAATGTGCAGAAAAAAGTCAGTTCAGAAGAAGCAATGTAAAACTCTAGAATACTGGTAAAATGCCACTAATGGACAATAAAAAACCACAGGTTCAAATGTACAAGTAAAACTTCTAAATTTGTATCAAAGAATGCCCACAGTTACTGGCAGATTAGCTTAAAGTACTTAAACTGCTGATATAGAAATCAAGCTAAATTTTACTCTAATAACATTATCAGTGACTTTTTAGTAGATTTCATAAAGCAAAGTCATGGATAGTTTATGTAGGAAATCTATATCATATTCAAATAAGGCTGTCACGGTTAGTAACTGTAAATATTTACAATGGAATAAAGTTTAAGTAAAAAATAATCAGTTTTTTCCTCAATAAAAAAACCATACACTCATATACAGGCACATATATACACCCAAGGACTCATACAGACACTCATACTTTCCATACACAATACCATAGTGGAATCTGCTTCCTGTGGTACTTGTTCAGGCACCATCAGTTAATAGCTTCAGCGAACTGCTCACTCCTGCTGTTCTCTGTCCTATTATTTAATAACTCAATTGAATTACAATTGTATATATATAGTTTTAATCGCAATTTTTGTATTTTCATTGCAGATAAATAATTATTTTCTGTTTAAATTGGGGTCAAATTTTTTGTAAATAGTCCACGTATGCAATAGTATACAATGTATAATCATCAGATGTCGATGGAATATTGTTTACCTAAACTGGGACTATTATACTACATGTAACATATGTTAGTATAATAGTCCCAGACCTAAAGAAGAAAAAAAAAAGAAGGAAGTAAACCTTATAAACCATTACAAGCTGTCATGCATAAAAATGTCACTTTGATTATATGAGGGACATGGGTACCTGAGATTAACAACTCTATTGAATTGTTATATTATATACTGAAATGTCATACAGCTTGATCGATCATTAATTATTTTTTAATTAATATTTAGGAGGCAACTCTCTGTATACAGAGTGGTGGAAGGACCTTTTTCCATTTGTTGGGATTAGTCCTTTATTTTTGCAGGAATTCAGGATTTGGCCTTTATTTTAGTGGGAATTCATGATTTACACTCATCGGGACTAATTATTCAGGATCTGGGAAAGAATGCTTCATTTTTTCAGGAATTCAGGATGACACACCCTCTACCTGTGTGCTGTGATATACTGGGGCTGAAGGAAAGTGAAATTAGCAAAAAATTTCGAAATTACATTAAATTGAAATTTCAAGAAAATAAAATTACTGAAACTTTAAATGTCACACAAACCCAAGTAATTTCCATGAAAAACTAAATAGAATCTCCTTTTTCATGACAACAGATCTTGCTTGTCCATCTCCACCTATATGGAATTTTTTGACAATGGCTAGAGTCCATTTGATCCTTGGTGAATCCTTGTGTATTTGTATGACATTTCCAATTTTGATATCTGTTTATTGCTTCTTGTATTACGATGATATTCTCGTAGAGATGTAAATTATTCGTGATTCCATTTACACCAAAAACTTTTGAGTAATCTGTAATTTCATTTTACATGTTTTAGACAGTTTATTAACAGATTTATGAGTGATATCATTTAGCAAATGATCAATTTTTTAAATTTGCAGGTTACAGCAGTGATGATCAGTAATGTAATCCTATGTCTTCAAAGCAAGTGCGAAGGGGTGATTGGTTCATCTAACTGATATGTTGAGACATTAGTTATAGGTCTGTCAGTAAGTATTGTTTTAACTTCTGGAACAATGATCCTGAGTAATTCAACATTAATCAAATAATATATCCCTCTTGATACCGTCAATTTTATCATTGGACATAGAAATACCGGGCGTCTGTCCTTCAGTCCGTCAGGTCTTGTTAGAGGTCTCACATGTACAATTCTAGCCAGATTTTTATGAAATTTATGTCATAGGTTTATATCAGCAATGTCTTGGACCAGTTCGAAAACAGTGCTGATCAATTATTTTTTAAAATGTTATGCCCCTTGGAAACATTAACTATATCGAAAATTGCATGGTTTATATTAGCAATGTCTTGGACGAGTTCCAAAATCAGTGTGAATAAAAAAAAATTTAAAGAGTTATATAAATGCCCCTTGGAAATATTTATTATACGGAAAATTGCATCGTTAGAGCTCTCATGTGTACATTTCTTGCCAGATTTTTATAAAACTTATATCATATGTTTATATCAGCAATGTCTTGGATGAGTGTGAAAATTAGTGCTGATGAATTATTTTTAAAAAGAGTTATTCTCCTCAGAAACATTAACTATATGGAGAATTGCAATGTTAGTGCTCTCAGGTGTTCAATTCTTGCCAGATTTTTATGAAACCTATATCATAGGTTTATATCAGCAATGTCTTGACCGAGTTTGAAAATCAGTGCCGATTATTTTTTTTTAAAAGAGTTACGCCCTTGGAAATATTAATTACATGGAAAATTGCCTTATGAGTGCTCTAATGTGTACAATTCTTGCCAGATTTTTATGAAATTTATATTATAGGTTTATATCATCAATGTCTTTGACAAGTTAAAAAATCAGTGCCAATCAATTATTTTTAGACGAGTTATGCCCCTTGGAAATATTGATTATACGGAAAATTGCATCTTTAGCTCTCTCATGTGTATATTGCTTGCCAGATTTTTATGAAACTTATATCATAGGTTTATATCAGCAATGTCTTAACGAGCTCGAAAATCAGTGCTGATTAATTTTTTTTAAAAGAGTTATGCCTCTTGGAAATATTAATTACATGGAAAATTGCCTTATGAGCGCTCTAATATGTACAATTCTTGCCAGATTTTTATGAAATTTATATTATTGGTTTATATCATCAATGTTTTTGACAAGTTAAAAAATCAGTGCCAATCAATTATTTTGGAAATATTGATTATATGGAAAATTGCAATACTAGCGCTCTCGTGTGTATATTGCTTGCCAGAATTTTATGAAATCTATATCATAGGTTGATATCAGCAATGTCTTTGACACTTTCAAATATAAGTTCTGATCAAATATTTTCAATGATTTACACCCCTTGGAAATATTTGTTATAATGGAAATCACATTGCATTTGCTGTGAAGCCTTCATTTTTCTGAAGATATTAATAAAAAGTTTTAAAGATAAAAAAAAAGTGCTTTCTTTAGTTATTGTCCTTGTACTTTGGATAAATATATTATGTGCAACGCGGGGGACTTTGGAACTCTGTTCTTTTATTACTGATGGTGAACATGTTACTCAAGTTCCTCAATCTACTTGGCGGCTGCAATGTGTGTTGTAACGTTGCCAGAAATAATTGTTTTTGGCAATGATTTACTACTAGAGAATGTTGGAAATGCTTACAAGAATGTCTTTTCAGATAAATTCATTCACTACTTCCTAATGTACAGCACAGGTGTTTGCACATGTAGATAAACAAATATACACTTTTCTGGTTTGTCCATCTGTGTTTCCAATATTCATTGGTGCTTCTGTAAGTTGGTCCATAGGTTTTAAGGTGGAGGATCTAGAGGTTAATACTGTCGACTAGCAACTTTCTTGTAATTGCACCTTTATGTCCTGAACAAATGGATTTTAGTCTTGCATCTATTTTCTATCCTGGTCATGGCATCATGAGATCATATAAAGTGGTTGATGGAAAGAAAAGAAGTATTGGCTATTTGATAGATGTAATAGAAATCCAAGGCAACAAATCAAGGAGACCTGAAGTTAAATTAAGCGTGGTACAAAGTAATCATCCTGTGTGTGGTATTTATCACAATACACTTGACTCCAACTGTTATCCTTTGTCATTGTATTTGCTTTAAGATGACATTATATAAGGTCATTTGTGTGTTTGTCTGGCAGAAAATCTGCTTCATTGCATTGAGCAAAGCTTAAGGATGAAAATCTTAATTGGGATAATTTCCATATGTTGGCTTAGATAAATGATAAAAGTAATACAGTGTGTTGGTAGTGTTAATGTATATGAAAATACAGAAGTATGCTTAAAAAATAACAAGGTACAAGGACCTCGTCATTTCAAGGATCCAGTTTACACATCAGAGCTACTTTTCAACCAAGGCTGGAATCCCTGAGATGTTATTGAAACATCATGATCATGATGGTCACTGGCAATTTGACTGTTTTCAGACTTATATTAAACAAGCTACACGTTGATTTGTGTCGACTTACTTCAGCCCTGAATTCAATGATAAAGTACATAGTGTTTTTTTATTGTTCTGGTTTACTCTTCATTTTGTGTCTGTTTGCTTCTTAATACTGTTGACAACTTATATTCACTGTAGTTTATTGACACTATGTTTGATATTGCTATATACTGACATTGATAATATCCATCAACTTTTCAGCCAAACAATATAAGTTGTAAATTGTGTAAAATGGGAAGCATACAATGTATTTCCTAGCCACAAATGTGTATTTTTTAAATTTTAATTATGTTTTTTCTTATACCCAGATCTGGTTCAGGTGCTTATATATTTTTTTGTAAAAATCAATTGATACTATGTTTGATATTATTAATACATTAATAACGTTTTTTTTGCCCATTTAGCCAAACACTTTAAGTTGTCAATTTACTAACATTCATGACATATATCCCTTTTACCTTTTGTCATACATGTCATAATCAGCATCAATAATGAGCATATTTCCAAATATTTTTTATCTAAAAGTTTTATGGACAATGAAAGTAAGAAATTGACAAAAAATATTAAGATCAATTAAGCAAATTGGTGTTGGGATTTTTAATACGTCTTATTTGTTTTTGATAAAACAATTTCTGATGCAATAGAAATGAAAATATGTATGATTTGTTGATAGATTATTGCAGGATCCAAATATTTTTATATTTTTTGGTGATTTTTTAGATGTTCACGGGATTACATTTAAGACACATGCTCAGTTTATGTTCTATAGAAACACATTTCATCATTAGAATGGAACATCAAACAGAATGCTTTAACATGGTATTGTTAGATGAGTGAAATACTACTGCAAAAATGAGTGAGTGTATAGTAAGATAAAAATTTAACTTGATGTTCAAAGGGAAATAACTCAAAAAATGATTTTAGACTAATTTCCACTAAAACTTATTCAGTTATGTCCCTCTTGGTTAAATGTTTGGAGACATTGTTTTGTTTTGTCTGTTTATCTGTCCCACAAAATCTTACACAGTAAATACATGAATAAATATTTTGTTATGAATCTACTGTACATTATGTTTTTTTATTAGTTTGATTTTTTGCTTACTGATATGTGAAAGTGACTAGTTCTTATATACGTAAATGTCTGGATTATAACAACATAAGTTACATATTTTAGACAAAAAAGGATTTGAAACGATTGGTGTCATAAATTTTTTTGGGTAAAATACTTGTTAGGTGGGTAGGGAGGCAACATCAAACAATCAAAATTTTATTTTTGGCCCAATACCACCATTACTAAAAAACAGAAAGTTTGATAAAGACTTTACTGAAAAATTGTGAACAGCTGGTGAATGTCCAATTGGATAAAAAAAAAATTACTAAATAATACATTTATGATCCTCTGTTAGAAATCTGGTTAAATAGCTAATCTGCATTTAAACATGACCTCACTAAAAATGTAAAATTGAAAATTGGTAAAAAAAAAAATAATATTTTTTCATGAAAAGTCATTTGAAGGAAATATTGGTTGAATAATACATTTATGATCCACTTTAAGAATTTAATGATTAACAACACAGTTCAGTGAGGTGAACATTCTTTAGATCCTGTCCATGACCATTTCTAGCAATTTATTTATGATAAATACTCATACATATATATATACAGATATTCAAATTACAAAATTATATGTACATGTGTAGAGCCATATTTGTCAAGAAAATTATTTAAAAAAGATTTCACATAGTTGTTCATGGAGTATGAATTTTACTGTAAATTATGCTGGTTTTTTTTCAGGAGATTGAATTGAAAATATTGAAATGTAAATCTTGTAACAATTGACCAGTCAACTGACCAGTAGTAATAACACGATTAATGTTTCCTGAGACATCATCTGCTATGAACATTTATCAAAGGTATATTAAATAAAGATGGTCACAATGAATACTGACTCTTGTGTCCCATAGTACTTTACTTATCTTATACAATATCTGGTAATAAGGTATGAACAAAAATTGATCAATACACATGATGGTCACAATAACAATATTTGACTTGAAAGCAAGTAGGTAAATTATGAAACATAAGGGGAAAATACTGTGGCTAAGAGTGGGAAGGAAATGTTGATCTAAATGTCATGTAAGACTAGTTTTAAGTCATAGTTGAAATAAAGGGAGAATGTGTACATGGGACACAGTTGATGCCCCCGCTTGCATATAACTTTATAAAGGGACATAGCTCAAGAATGGTAAAAGTGACGCCACCCAAATTCTAATTGGATCTGAGTTTTGTGGTAATAAGCATTGTGTATAAGTTTTATTACATTTGGTTGAGGCAAACTAAACTTAGAGAACAAAAAAGAATTCTGCAATTTTTATACAACCGCAAAAAATTTTGCTGTCGTATATTGGTATCACGTCATTGTCGTCCGAAGACATTTGGTTTCAGGACAATAACTTTAGTATATGAAAATAGAAATCAATGAAATTTAAACACAAGGTTTATAACTACAAAAGGAAGGTTGGGATTGATTTTGGGGGTTATGGTTCTAACAGTTTAGGAATTAGGGGCCAAAAAGGGGCCCAAATAAGCATTTTTCTAGTTTCCAGACAATAACTTGTGGAAAGGTGTATGGATCTCTCTGAAATTAGACCATAAGTTTCCATACCACAAAGGGATGGTTAGGATTGGCTTTGGGGGGTTATGGCTCAAACCGTTTAGGAATAAGGGGCAAAAAAGGGGGAAAAACAAGGGTTTCCTGGGTAATGGACAATTACTTAAAAGTACAATGTTATGTTTGGATTACCTCCCTTACACTGCTTTTAAATTATGTATAAAGAAATGTTGTATTGTCTTGAGGTGATTAGCTGTCAATTTATTTTTAGAAGTTACTGTTAAAAATGCTGATTAAGGGATATTAATTTTAGCCATGATTATGTATGTCATTTTCTATTTTAAGACTTTTATGATGTATTTAACTGGGTAATTATGGTTGCAAACTCCATTGGAAATTTGAATTGAGATAATGACCATATCTTGAGGGAAAGATATTTTTTTTTGAAAAAGGGGGGGGGGGGGGGAGGTGAAAAAAAATTAGGGGTAAAAAAGAAATTCGGAGGGAACTATTTTTTCTCATTTCAGATTTCAGAAATTAAAAAGAAAATTTCTTTTTTTTTGGGGGGGGGGGGGGGGGGGGGGGGGGGGGTCAATTCGCAACAGCATAGTGTATTGCACAAAAGCAAAAAATTGAATATAAATTCAAATCATATAACAAATTCTAAGTTCTTTGACTACAGTTATTCTGTGTCCGAAACCTATTATATGTCAAATATTTATACATCCAAATTCAGACCTGTATCAAGTGCGAATATTGTGTCTATTTTTGCCCCAACTGTTCAGGGTTGGACCTCTGCAGTCGTATCCAGCTGTGCTCGGCGAAGCAATTTATTCCATTTGAACAGGGGCATAACTCATAGAACGGTAAAAGTAACACCCCCAAATTTTATCAGTTAGCTACCTTCAGTTACCTGGTTGGCTGAACAAAATGTTGATAGTTTTATATGAAAGGTGGTAGCATTTTTTATAGATACATTTTGATGATTTCTAAATAATTTTATTTCCAGCTAAACCATGTAAACCCACCCTGTCCTTTATCCTTGTCAATCCACTTTTCAAAGAACCTTAGTTACCTCATTGATTTGAATTATATTTGTTCCCACCCTCAATCTATATGCATGATATTTCCATTGGAAATTAAGCAAACAACAAACACTTACTTGATGATTTTTTTTGCTGGTTCTTTATTTGGTTCTTGTCTCATGAACATTCCTTTTAATCTTTTATCTCTAATGTTTTCATTTTTTATTTTCAGATGAGAGTTAACTGGAAAGTCATTGATTCCTTGGCATTAGGAATTTCAACAAAAAGATAACATCAGCCCAGTAGAGTTTTTAAATTTCAATAACATAAAAATGATCACAATTCTAAATGGATACTGGTTCTTATGTTGACTGAACTACACTATTCTTGATGCTTAAAAAATATTCTGTAGACATGTTAAATAAAGTGTTAAATGTTATAACAGTTATTTGTTTGCACCTGTCCTAAGTCAGGAATCTGATGTTCAGTAGTTGTCGTTTGTTGATGTGGTTCATTAGTGTTTCTCGTTTTTTATATAGATTAGACCATTGGTTTTCCCGTTTGAATGGTTTTACACTAGTAATTTTTGGGACCCTTTATAGCTTGCTGTGTGGTGTGAGCCAAGGCTCTATGTTGAAGACGTACTTTGACCTATAATGGTTTACTTTTATAAATTGTGACTTGGATGGAGAGTTGTCTCATTGGCACTCATACCACATCTTCTTATATCTATGTATATGTACTGAAGACTAACAGGGAATTCCTTTAAAAGCAAGAAACATATTGAGTAGAACCGAAAATGTATATGCTACCAGGAAGGAAACTGGGTGAATGTAACTTCAGTCATCTGTATTATTGGAAGAAACAAGGTGATAATAAATGTTTGTCTCAGATGTACCTTTATTAATAAGATTAACTAATAGGCCATTTCTGGAAAAGATTGTCAATTACGCATGCATTATGACGTAGATAGAAGGCGCACCTGTATCCCTGCACTATTAAAGTTGCAAACAATTTCAGGATTGTCCTTCTGCAGGGTAGTCTAGAAATAATTTATGTTCTGTAAGTGTACGTAATCTCAATTCCAGTAAGACTGAAGGGAGGATGACCAACTAATAAGATTTTAATTTCCCGAGTATTTTGTTCAGTATAGGATCAAACTGTTTCACCAGTTCTCTCAACATGTATTGGAAGTAAAGATGCGTACATTTTGGTCACATGGTGATTGAAGTCAAATGATAGATTCAACTAACTACCGATTCTTGGAACTGCATATATATACACCCTCAAAAGAATGAACCTTTAAAAAGTTCCTGTAAATAAAATTCGCGTTCAGTTAATACCATGCAAAAACATGATGGCTAAGTTCCTTATTTTGCCTTTACAGAAATTTAAGACCCCTCCAAAATATCTCATCTTAGGTTGATAAGATAAGATATGGCAACATTGAAGCTGCATTGTTATTGGTTCTTGGAAGATAAATGTGACCTTTTGCCATCATTTTATATAAATAAATAAATAATATACGCAGGCAAATTTATTCCTTCTTTTCGAATGATCTGCAAAAAGATGTGTTCTTTCTATGTGACGTCATCAGGCATGGTCGCCTTTTTTCATGCCGTCACAATAGGAAATTCAGAGGAAAGCAAGAAAATTCGACGTCATAATCGGACTTTAACCAATGAAGAACTGAGATCAAACGAACCACACGTTGATTAAATTTTTTTTATACAATGGGTGCAGAAAGGGATAAATTGACGAAGAATTAGAGAAATATATATATATATATAAACAAGTCTAAATTGAAAACAACGTTCAAACCTATGATTGCGTTGGATAAAATTTTTATACGTTTGCATACAAAACAAATTTCTTTGTAGAGGGGTCTAAATACAGCACAAACAACATTTTCCAAAAGACCAAATGAGTGAAAAGTATATTTTAACAAAACGCATTTGACTAGCAGGTCGAACAACGGATGTTCTTAAACCCTGCTGACTGCCATGGCGATTGCCAAATAAACAGATCACAGATGTAACACAATGGATCTTAATTATTAATTTAATACCAAACAGAAAACAATAAACTTGCGGAAAAGATGGTATAACGCAAACATGAGGTGCAAAATTTTTTACACCATATCCGGATTTCGACAATTAATGTCTCTTCAGTGATGTTAGGAATCGAAACGGTATTTGGAAGGCCATATAATTTACCTCAATTTGGGATTGACTCTTGAATTTTGAAGAGTCGAAATAAGATGAACGGATCATATAAACCCGCAGGCAAATATAATACAAGCCCAAACGAAAAAATATAAACAAGTCTAAACTTTGAAAACAACGTTCAAACATATGATTGCGTTGGATAAAAACCGCAATTTTTATACGTGTGCATGCAAAACAAATTTCTTTGTAGAGGGGTCTAAATACAGCACAAACAACATTTTGCAACGGATCATATAAACCCGAAGGCAAATATAATACAAGCCCAAACGAAAAATACATGTACACCATATCACCCTTGTTATTATCTATATAGTTATTAATATCATCTTTACATTTCAGTATATCACAAGACACCGTACAGGAAAACAAGTTGTTATTTTGCAATTCGCCGTACAACGCCCTTCAATTCTCCGTATAGTAACTTGAAAATTACAGGTACGTATTCTTTAAAAAAAAACATCTTTTTGATAGCAAATTTCAGTAAATATACTAAATATGATGTCACATTATCATAATCTAAAAATTTGTCTGGAAAAAGAATGAATATTTGGCCAGTGGGATGTCGGAGAGCGATTGACCTCGAAATTTTTTGGTACCAAGCGCACAGTTTTGAAGTATTACGCAAAATCTTGTCTTTGTTTGCTACTTGTTGGCATTAAAAATTAAGCACTATATATATCAGAAAATCGTTTCATAAGCGGTAACCTCATCAAAACGGTAGAAATGGTTTAAATCAAATGATTTCTAATTTCCGTTGGCTTTTATACTTTATTTTTTGTTGATGTTTTTTCATTTGAATTTGTCACAAGTTTCATGTTTTACTTATATGACAATAAAGAATTATATACTGAATAATTTAAATTCTTATCCTTTGACATGGCATTTTCGTATAAAAAAACTGCGTTTTGCCCATGTCTGATGATGACTACCAGCTCAAACGAGTGTCTTCCGAATCACTACCCCATCCCCACCCCCTCTTCTGCGCCTTTTATCCAGGAAAAAATACCCAGGTGTGCTTCTTGTTTAAGTTAAATAGTAAAATTCAAATATACATTTTTCATAACTATCGATTAATTCCAGTACGTGGCAAATATTTCATGCATATTCAGGACTAGAACAAATTGGTAATAAAAGGACCTTTAATAGTAAGCATTAGCTCGGATTATAGTAACTTTCTCAAAAATCAATAGAGATCTTCCGCTCATTAAATATGACCATAATTATATCTAAGTAAGGTTTCAATCCAGTATGTAATATCTGGTTTTCAGATATTACATATTGGATTGAAACCTTACTTAGATATAAAAGTTATCTACACAAATTGAGGTCTATATTTATGCCCCTGCCGCTAGGCGAGGGGGCATTAAGTGTTACCCTTGACCGTCCGTCAGTCTGTCTTTCCGCCCGTACTTCCGTCCGTCCCATTTTTAAATTGCAAAGCTTGAGCAGGGGCATTCGTGTCCTTAGACACTTTCTTCTTTTATTAGTAACTATGATCTTGACATGGTGAACTAAAAATCAATGAGGAACTTCCTCTCATTACATGCAACATATATCCCAGTAAGGTTGCAATCTGATATAAGAATTCGAGTCAACTGAGCATCTTGAAAAAAAGACAGACGGACAGACGGACAGACGGACTGACATACAGATGAACGGATTGACAGGCAGGAAAAAATCTTCATTGCAAGGGATATAATTCATACCATCAGTAAGTAAGAGTCTGCATGGTAGGTACACAAGGATGAACAGCAGGGACTGACACTAGAAATTGATGGCTACTGAGGATGGATACTGGATAGACAGGAAATTTCCCACTAACCCATCAGAGTGTTGTTGCAGCTGTTCTTTAACGTGCAGAGTATATGGAATTTGCCCTTCAAGAGACATGGGATTTAGAATTTGGTGAAATTATTAACTTCTTTCTGCAGCAAAATCCCTAGCAGGATGGATAGTCTTATACTTATTCTACTTAATATCAAAACCCCTTTTTAGTCAAAAATTTGGAATTTTGACTGAACGTTGCAATATTGCTGTATGAAAAAAAAGAGGTCAAACACGTATGAATAATTCAAATGTTGTGAAAATCTTTTCATATAAGTTCATCTTACTTTATGTAAACCAATGAACCAAGAAAATTTTAAAGAAAAAATCTTAGTTTTTATATGCAACTCCATATTCAACTTTACATGGTTTTCAATATTCATCCTATTTTTGTTTTTGGCAAATGCTTCGTAGAAAATATTTTATATAAGTCTTGTGTATGGTCTAAAAATTCATAATGTTGGGATAATTTCAGCTTATTTGGTGTAATCTGGGACCAATATTTATAAATCCAAGGTGTTAATTGATATGACATAATTTTCATTTTTCATAATGTACTAAAGTTTTTGTCATTCTGTGCAAACAATACTTATTTTATGGTATAAAAAGTGTCACAAGCCACAAATATATGAGTATATGCTGCTTATTAAATGTTTCGACTTGAGGTCGCACAACATTCAGCCAACATGATATTCTTCCAGCTTCTACGTTATATGACTTGAAACAAAAAGACATTTTCCCCATTCAGATTAAATTCAGCATTTGTCCTCAACATGCATGAAATATTTGCCACTGGATGTTGAGCAAACATCAACTAATCAATCAATTCAGCATACATATTTAATTAAATAGGAACAAAATTACTGCGGAAATTAATCCGAATGAAATAGGACTTTTTTTCATTTCCCTCCATGAATACAAAACTATAGTTGTTGGCCACTTTCAGCAACCTTGGCTATATATGGCAGTCAGTCTATGGTTGGTGGAGGAAGATGGAACTAATACCCGGAGAGAACCACCAATCTTCAGCAGAAAAACTCAGGCAATCCTTGTTAATCAAGATCTGAGTTGAACCCTCGCAATGACCAGGTTTCAGATTTGGATCAAAGTTGAAAGGCTAGTGACTGGTTCCATCAGATGTAAATTGAGACAGAACAAATCATTATTCAATAGCCTTAATATGAACAAACAAAAATGTCTAAAATGCAAGCTTAACAGTTCATAAACTGTTAACACAGAGATATGCCTCGCCTTTTTGTTATTTTGCTAGTAAAATGCAACTGATGATATTTAAATAGCAAAACTTTAACATGCAAGTTATGCAAAATATTCAAAGTCATTGAACCATGACTGAAGGCAGAGGGCCAAACATTTTCCATGGAAATACGATGTGCCAATGCTAATACAACATACTAAATATCATTGACCTACCACTAATTGTTACCCATAAACTGACCTAATCACAAACTAATACATGTAAACTAAGCAAAAGTTTCGAAGTCAGTAGACAATGACCGAGGGGACAGGGCCAAATTATCTCCATGGAAATGAGATGTGCCAATGCTGATACAACTGCATACCAAATATCATTGACCTATCACTAGTAGTGGTTCCCCATAATCAGAAAGTAGGTACCTCACAGATCTGAAAAGCTCTCACATGTTTTAACTCATCACTGTCAAGCTTTGACCAAAATGGTAGTCATCCTGTTCAGCAGTACCTGAAAAAAATGTGACGGAAATATTTGCTGGACAAACAGGCTGACATAGGGACAGACCGACAAGGTGAATGCAATATAGCCTTAACTCCTCGAGGAGGGATATAATACTAGGACAAGAAGCCATCATTGCTGATTTTCAATATAAACTTTTATTAAGAAATATTATTATTTCAATAACCATACACAAAACGCAAAAAAAAAAAATAACACTTGAATGTTTTGTTAATAAAATATCATGCTCTTACTCCAAATATTGAAAATTAAGAAACAATGTAATTATTTTTTTAATTACTGGTAATCAAATTCGAAATACCTTACCCTCCTTCTAGATTCATCCAATCTTAATCCAATGGCAGGTTTTAGTAGTTTTATTGAAAATTGGTCATAAGAGATGACTACAATTAGATGAAAGAAGCACCTGCTGTTAGATTGAAACAGAATAAACCTTCACAAAGTCTTGTTCTATCTCTCTATCAAATATGCAAATCAGATGAATTTAATATATAAAAAGATGAATTTAATATCCAAAAGATATCATTAAATTTCAAACCAACCCATACTGCTATTTCCTATAACTTAGTTAACAGTTTTTACTAAGCTCTACAAAATGGCAAATTTTGATTACATCTGATGTGCTCCTATTAATGTCTAATTAATTACCTTTCACCAAAGGAAGCGACCAGAATAAGGAGGTAAATAGGTGTATTCCCTCCCCTTGCCATAAACTTCACCCTATTAGCTCCTCATTCATCACATGGATTTATTTAACTTATAAATTTTAGAAAATCCCATACTGCCATTTCCTAGAACTTAGTTTACAGTTTTTTCTTTTATCTTTTTTTTCTTTATCTTTTGTTTACATTATTTCTTTACTATTAGCTCTACAAAATGGCAAATTTTGATAACATCTGTGTCCCTTAAATATATTACATGTAAATAATACAAGTATGATAAATTAACTTTCATCATAGGAAGAAACCAGTATTAGGAGGTAAATAGGTTTATTCCCTCCCCTTGCCATAACTTCAACCTATTAGCTCCTCATTCATTTTAGATTTCACTTCCTGTGTTGAAAACTAAAAAAAAAATAAATATATAAAAAATGGTACACTTAATATATTGCATAAGTGTGATAATTTAGATATAAAATGAAAATTTATGATTTAAATTTTTTAGTATGTAATATTTTTAGTGTATACAGTTTTCAATACAAAATGTTATACTCATCCAAGATTTATCCAATTTAAACAAATTGGCAAGTGCTTGATTATTTCAATACAAAAAGTTATAAAGAAGAACCTGCTGTTTTGCTGAAAAAGAATACACCTTTACATAGTCCTTCTTTCTGTCTTTCATACAGTCTGCAATTCCTCTTAGATTAATCTTGTTTAAACCATAAATACAAACAAACAAAAAATAGCAGTGACCGTCTATAGTCAAACAGCTCGTAAAAATGGAAACAATATTATGAGCTTTAAGGTTGAAACAGGATAAATCTTTACAAATGAATATTCTAACTATCTCACATTTTAACATAATGAATTTTGAAGAAAAAAAAAACATTTTTAATCAAACATTGAAGATAAGCAGTGAGCTTTAAAATGAACAAATTCAATCTTCACAAAACCTAGCTGACTCTCTCTTTGCCTTTCATACATTTCATATTTTAAAATTATATTTGACTATCCTCAATTTTATAATCAATGAATAAAAAAGTTCGTGAGTGTTGATGTCCTTCCTTCATTTTCACCTTTTTTTCAAAATATCCACAATTGGAAGCATCAAACATTACCTACAAATGGAATGATAAGTTTTATCACAAGATTCTTAAAAATAAAAAGGAGAAACAGTTTTTCTGTGTCACAATATTTATTCTTCATAATAAAGTTAATCATTGACAGTTAAGATTATGTTTTGCTGCTAAGTTCTTTATTTTTTATACTATTTGGTGTCCAAGATTGAATATCTGTTTACAATGCAAGCCAGGTGGCAAAAAATTGGTTTTAAGAAGACGAAAAAGTTTGGTAAAACTTTACCATTCTGTAGTTTTTGCATAAAAAAATGAATCTTCAGTAAGATCTGAATGTTATTTCAGCCCTATTTGCAAATCTGATTTGATGATGATATAATATTGCATTTATAAATTAGTCCTGAAGAAAAAAATCTCATCTCCCTTGAAATAATTTTCAGCAATGTATTCCCCCCCTTTCCTCAGTATGGTTGTGTGATGCACACATTTTTACATAATTAGTATATCTTCACATTGTTGAGTTATTAATGAAAAAAAAATTCTCCGAGCAATGAGTCCTGTCATGTGTCAATTAGTTTTGAAGTTATAAAATATATAAACTGGTAGAAATAAGGCCAATAACTCATCTGAATGCTTTAACAAGGAAATTTTATACAAGAATACAACTGGTCTCTTAACAATGCATTTGTGTAGTGTTTTTGTAATAATGCTGACTTACCTAAACATCAGGTAAATTTATTCCCATTAAGTTTTCATCTAATAAAGGCACTTTGTGAATACCATGCAGGGCCAGCATTGAATGAAGCTGAAAAAATAAATTATCAAAATGTTTTACTGTTCTGAGATACTTATATTTCTTCAACTTCTAATTGGTAGCATTAGAATATTAATTAGCATATTACTCATTTCTATTCTGGATTTTATTTTCTGTTAAAGTTATCCAATCTGAGCAGCCACTTAAAAATCAGCCTTCATTAACTGCAACAGTGTTCAAAAGATAATTTTTGAAACAAGAACAATATCCCTAGAATATCGCATCCATTATTCTTATTGGTTTTTTTCCTTATGCATTTTCTCAATATAGTAAAAATTATGAGAGTTCTAAGGTCCCAGCCAGATAGATGACTTGGTCTTATTGATGCATTAACCATTATAAATCAACCTTCTAACGTATTTTTTTTTAAATTTAAGAAAAGATTACCTCGTGTTTTGCATTGAACCACTTCAGATTTGAGGTAACAATCTCTTGAAAACTTCCTGTTTGCTATTTTCATCCTGAAAAAAAAAAAAAAAGAAAAATATGCTTAAAAGTTAAAACAAATGATATAATTAGAAATGCATATAATCTAATTTTAATAATATTTAAAATTTAATTCCTATAACTTAACTCTGAAATATTTCATTCACACTTCTTATTATCAGTGATTGAAAAGTGACAAGCTCTCAAAATCCTAGCTTAAACCCGGCTCATTATTATCAAGAAATGGCACTTTTGAGGTAAAACAGTATCAATTTTCCAAGTCCTGCAGCAACATCGAATTAACCTTTTTGTTTAATCTTGGTATCTCAAAAAGAATGGATCAACATTTGTAAATGAAACATTACTTCACCACTGGCACATACTTTTTCATAATCCATTAAATGGCAAATCTACAAAAAGATGACTAAATATGACATGCAAAAAGTTCAATTTAAATGTTTAAAAGATATTACTTTAATTTTGTCTGCTCTTTTAACTTATCAGTTAGCAATGCATTACTGTGAATAATCTAATATAATTTAATCTCTTTAATGTTCACTCAGGCCTTTGCTCTGGTCATGGAGATCTCTTGCTTGGATAACCATCTTTCATAATATTTCATTCCAACTCGTTGCAGTCAGTTGATGTCCACTTGCAAATATTTTATGCATATTCAGGACATTAATTCCAGAAGGTACCTTTTGCAAAATTGGTAAACCAGGATGAAAGGTATAAGATTTAAACTACCATTGATAAAAGGGGAAACTTGGAGGCAAAAATTCTATCTTGCAACAGGCAAGCTACATACCCCTCAGAGTTGTTGCCAGGGTTCTTTAATGTGCAGAGATCAATCTCCTACTTCACAATCAAATCCGATGTGACTGCATATTAATATTCCGTTGCAACAGAAACAGATCCCCTTCAAATAAGTTTTACCGCTGGATGGGAGAAGTCCAGATGACCACATATCCCACTGAACCCTTGGGTTTCCCCATTTGAATAAAATTTAATATTAATTAGGGGTTTGGGTATTGCCTCTAAATACCACCTCCCCCCTTTTAACTTTATTTGTATTTGGCAATTTATACTCTGTTGTAAAGTTTTCTTTTCTTCAATTTATTTCTCTTTTTAATATATTCTAAATTTCTGCACATAAATGTTAGGTTGAAAACCTATCGAGGAATGGACAATTCATTTTTCACTCACATCTTTCTTTTGTGTTATTTTATTCTCAGATTTGTTGTACTTTATTTATTGACCAATTAAAATATTATTTTAAGATACCTATTAAAATTCTTTGAAGTTTTCCCTCCATCCCAAATATAAACCACACTCTCGAATGGCACTAAAAATGAATATTTTACCCTTGCCTTACAAAGCTTCAAAGTCAGCTAGAACACAACCATTAGGTCCAAAAATAATAATACAAAATACAATAATAAATTGTGTGGCCCTGTAAGAAAACTCTACCACTTGCACATAATTGCATTGCATTAAAAGGACAAGATATTAAAATGTTCCAAGAACTGTTGCACCATAAAATGACTAGCAGTGTTTTGTTTATATTAACAATTTTTTTTTGTAGTTCTTTTGGTTTTTTTTTTCATTTAGTTTTATACTTTTACTTCAAAATTTAACATTAAGGTATTGGGAAAAACTGGATTCAGAATATTTTTTTTTGTCATCTGCTTGACAATATTTTTTTTCATCAAATTGGGGATCGGAATATGTTTTTAGGAGAAAACCATAACCATGCAAAATAAACCGTGAATTTAAACAACATGGAGTTCAAATTTAACAGTGCATTTCTAACCAGAAAAAAATCAAAATTTACTATCTGCTCAATTTTAGAAAAAACTTCTATTCTTGATCATGTTTCTCTATATTTTTTAAGTACAATTTTAAATTCTATAATATTTCAAAATACATACCCCAAGCAATTCTTAAATGATCATGAAGAGAAGGAAATCTTACACAAAAATATTAACTTTTACAAAAAATCTAACGTTTTTTTTAATCTGCTTTAATTTAAGAATTGAATATCTAAAATTTGAGAATACATTTAAACAGAAACCATTAAAGAGCTGCTATCAACACAAAATTCTGTAAATAACATAAATGATAAAAGACAAATATGGACAATTAAGGATCTGGACTTTAGTAATGAATAATATGCACTACAATGTTTATATCATTTTGATAAAATTAATTTTGAAATAATTACGAAAAAATTCAAATTGTTACTGAATCAAATGAGACCCCATAGAAAAACTTTTTAAAACTTAAAACATCATATAAATAAACTTCAGAAATACATAACTAAGAAACTCTATAAAAACTGTAGACAACATTTCAACTATCAAAAACATGTATATGAAACCATTCAAACCAGCAAAATAGCAAGAAAAAGAAAACACAACTTAGAAATGACCAATGAAGTTTAGATATACTAATGATAAAGAAAAAATGTTAGGTCTGTTAGATTGGTGGTTAAATGTTAGTATAGAAATGGATAGTAAGTAAGATGTATTTCTGAATTTATTATCTGATATTTATTTGCATTATTACATTTACCCTTGAATAAAAATATTTTTCTGTTAATTTATAATGTAGTGCACATATTCCCCTTTATATAACGTAATTAATTATGGCCATTTTCACCAAAAAATATCTCGATTTTATTTAATTGCTTATTATTCATCATTAACAAATTATTACCCGACATCCAAATAGAGTTTTACTTGTACCTGAAAACTGAAATCTTTTTTCTTTATTTAGCAATTTGTTGAATATGGAATATTGATAGTCTCAGCTAAATTAATTCACTTTTTCTAGATTAGTGTTCAAAGCTCTTGTCAACATATTGTATAAGACACTTTTTTTTTAAATTGTTGATTGTTGGAGACCATATAATTTTTTATGTTGATATTCTTTTTTTTTTGTGACGTTGGGTTGCTGTCTAATTAACCAATGATGTATTATGTATATCCACACAGCTTTTTTTTGTAGTTTAACAGGTTGTGTCAAATGCCAACTTTGAAAGCTGCAATTTCCCAAATATAAATGCATGAGTATAAATCTCTAATCAATTTATAATCTTTTTTTTTTAACCATTCATTTTGCTTTAGATGTCCTTGAATGAAAAAATATGTAAGATTAACAATTTAATATATGTGCTTCTATACAGATGCACGCTAGCATATATCTGATACATTAAGGATATAATCTGAAATAAATCTGATATGTTAAGGATACAGGACGAAACACATCTGATACATACATATAATACATTAAGGAATAAGTAACTACTAAATAGATTTAAATCCTTCAAGAATGAAATTAAAAGTTCGGTTTGTAGATCCTGCAAAAAATACAAATATTTCATAAGATATCTATGGGATATTTCTGCAGTCACATCCTCAAAATACCCAACTTGGTTCATTCTGAAATAAAAACAAATTGGAGGCCATCTGCAGTCACATCCTCAAGTAATGGTACTCTTTTACAGGCTCTGGGTAGAAGGCCTGTAACTGCTGCAGGAACACAGTGGAACTGTCAACTACCCCGTCCGGGTCATCTACAACGGAGCCATTCTCAAAATGTATGACTCTCGGTCCATTCTGAAATAAAAATTAATCTGATATGAAAAAGATACAAAGTTGTATTCATCAGATACATTAAGGATATAAGCTGTGCTAAATCTGATCTATTAAGGATACAGGCTGGCATAAATCTGATACATTAAGAATACAGGCTGTCATACATCTCATATAGCTAGGGTGCAGGCTGGTATACATCTGATATAGTAAGGATACAGACTGACATACATCTGATTCATGAAGGATACAGACTGGCATTATGTAACATCTGATACATAAGGATACAGACTGGCATACATCTGATATAGTAAGGATACAGGCTGGCATATATACATCTGATACATGAAGGATAAGGCTGGCAGATATCTGATATAGTAAGGATACAGGTTGCCATACATTGGATACAATAAGGATACAGGCTGGCATACATCTGATATAGTAAGGATACAGGCTGGCATACATCTGATATACTGTAAGGATACAGGCTGGTATACATTGCATACATTAAGGATACAGACCAGCATACATCTGATATATAGTAAGGATACAGGTTGCCATACATTGGATACATTAAGGATACAGGCTGGCAAACATCTGATATAGCAAGGATACAGGCTGGCATACATCTGATACATTAAGGATTCAGACAGGCATACATCTGATATAGTAAGGATACAGGCTGGCATACATCTGATAGGTTAATATTACAGGTTGGCAAACATCTAAAACAATACGGATACAGGCTGGCATACATATAATACTTAAATGATACAGACTGGCATACAACTGACATAGTAAGGATACAGGATGGCATACAAATGATACATAAAGGATACAGACTGGCATACATCTGATATAGTAAGGATACAGGCTGGCATAAATCTTATACATTAAGGATACAGGCTGGCATACATCTGTTAAAGTAAGGATACAGGCTGGTATACATCTGATTTAGTAAGGATACAGACTGACATACATCTGATACATGAAGGATACAGACTGGCATTATGTAACATCTGATACATAAAGATACAGACTAGCATACATCTGATGTAGTAAGGATACAGGCTGGCATATATACATCTGATACATGAAGGATAAGGCTGGCAGATATCTGATATAGTAAGGATACAGGTTGCCATACATTGGATACAATAAGGATACAGGCTGGCATACATCTGATATAGTAAGGATACAGGCTGGCATACATCTGATATACTGTAAGGATACAGGCTGGTATACATTGCATACATTAAGGATACAGACCAGCATACATCTGATATAAGGATACAGGCTGGCAAACATCTGATATAGCAAGGATACAGATGGCATACATCTGATACATTAAGGATTCAGACAGGCATACATCTGATATAGTAAGGATACAGGCTGGCATACATCTGATAGGTTAATATTACAGGTTGGCAAACATCTAA